GTGCGTTAAGGCAGCTGGGTAGCAGCTTCCCTGTGGAAAGGAGCACCCGGGTTTTTTTTTTGGTGCATGTGTCTCTTTTCCTGATGGATTTCACAAAAAGAGACATTTGTCCCGTCTTTGTAATCGTTAATTCCCACTGTTGTTGCTGCACGCACAAGGATTGTGCTAAAGAGGTAYGTATGAATTTCATGGTATGGGATAAATGTGCAAAGGCTTGGGATGGTGAATGAGAATTCCTGCCATGCAGAACTGCTCAACTGGTCAGACTTGGCATAAACTGGCTGTTCAGCTTGCAAATGTGGCTGTACTTTCTCAGTAAGTTGTCTGAAAACATAGATTTTTTCAGTCTAGATTTTTCTGAAGAGCCAGGCTGGAGCTGTTACTGTTCCTGCTGTTTCCTATCCGTGATGTTGTTTTTCACCTTACTTTTCTTCCAGTTTAGCACTGCTGAGGGAGGGTGTGTGTCACTCGCTGTGTCTGTTACTCGAGCTTGCTGTGGTGTCCCAGGCACTCAATGCTGATTGTAGTTCTCTTGTAAAGCAAATATCTGTAATATCTTTTGCATTAGGGTGAGATGGTATAGCACTGGTCCTGATGATCTAATGCCAAATATTACATGTTTTTTATGTAAAGGTTGCTCAGAGATGTCCTTGATAGCCTTTACTTTTGAAAAATACTTAGTAGCATTTTCAAGAGTACATACGTATATTTTTAATGGATCATACTGTTTAGAAATTATGTTTAATTTTGAGACAAATTTTTAAAAATTTGATTACAATATGATAAAATCTGTGATTTTTATCACCCGTAAGATTTGTCATACAAAATCTATACTTAAAGAGGACTTCAAGATCAGTATTTAGTTTTCTTTGGGATTGTTGCGCTTTCTGGTACCCACATATATAACACTCCAATGTATGTAACCATATGCCATTCCAAAGCTCTGGATGTTCCCACAGCATGTGAGTGTTCAGGGGTCGTTGCTTTTAGGGGAGCAGCAGGTCTGCCCGGCCGAGCTCTCGGGCTCGCGCCTCCCTTGCGGAAGCCCCAGAGCTGGCGCAGCTCTGCAGGGAGCTGCAAGGGACAACTCCATCCCCCTGCCAGCTTCCGTGGCCTTCTCAGCCTGGGTTTTTTTTCAGTTTGATAAATAGCAGAATGTGGTTCATTTTGCAGCTGTAGAAGTGCTTGTGCTGGCAAACAGGAGAAAATGGCTCGAGCATGGGAATGGGAGGTGGACGACAGAAAGCACTTGCTTTAAGCAGTAGCCTCAGATTTTGCTMTCCATAGTTTCAGAAAAATCTGGTTTTCTTATGCATCTCTGTTATATCTTATCGCCTCTAGTAAATTCAGAAAAAATGCCAACATGATTCAAGTTGTTCCCTTTGAACTGCCACTGGAGAATGGGAYGAATCGATGTGAAGACTGGAGTTGTCCGGCGAATCTTCCAAGCTGTTTTAGGGTGCAGAGGGAAAATGGGGACAGGCATCCAGGACTGTGACTATTTTGCAGTAACTGTGTTTGAAGTGTTTGAAGTAGGAAATACTGAGTAGTTTGGTATGTCCTTAAGGGTCTTTGGATTTAGAAACCGATGAAAGGGCGTTTGGCTGCGCAGCTCATATGAGCCTTTAAGGACATGACAAGGTCATGTGGATCACAAGGCCTCCTTGGGTTTCTCTGAAATGGCAAGATTAAGTTGTATAGTCGGTTCTGGGTCAAAAAGTTCATTGACTTCTTAAGTGCTATMATTGATACCTGGGTGAAATGTTTTAGTTGGGAAAATAGTCTTGTCTCTCCTGTGGGGTATATAAAATAGTCCAACACTGTGGATAGCACTTGAAGATGGGGGGGGGAAATGCATTTTATTTACATTTTATTTTTATTTAGTCTTTAAAGCTSGCCATGCTTAAGTGGTCTGGCCATCAACTTAAGGGGCCTTGGGCCTGTGCTGTAGACGAAGCTCAGAGAGCCCTTCCTCTGGGCTGTGGAATAACCTGAGAAGTGGATGTAGCTGTTTGAGCTCACCCCATATTGGGTTTAGACCTTAGTGTGAGGAATTTTTTTTTCCTGAGCGTAATGGAAGAAAAATTTAAATTGAACTCCTGATTTGGAGTTCACAACACAACTTACTATAGGATAGAGCCCTTAGGCAGGGCCTAAGAGTTTCTGAACAGATGTATGATTTTATTCAGGCTAGGGGATACATAATCTAGCAGCCTAGATGATTGATTCTAAAATCTGTTCTTAGAGTTTCATTTTCAGACTTGTTGATGTTTTTAACCTCACGCTTTCTTCTTTCTATAGAAAGCTTGTATTCTGGTTTCCTTGTGTTAGTATTTTTTCTCTACAATTTGTCTTAATGCTTATTTTAGCTTTTCTATTTTCCTGAAATAAGATTGTTCAGAGATTTCAATTCTGCCTTTACTGTCCCAGTGTAAAGAAACACATGGAGGCTGTTGCTACATCTGGGACTCTTGTTATTTAGGAGCCTTACATGTGTTGAACTTTAGACTTGTCTGGCAAATTTGGGTACAATAAATGATATAATCTCTACAAAAGTTATTTTTACTGTATAGAGAGTGTTCCCTCTCTTAATACATATACATATAGAAAGATCTGTCTGTGCACATATGAGCCTGCACTTCTGGGCCCTTTTTAAGCTTAGTCACCTTTTATTGTGGTCGTCACTGTGATTAACCTCTGCTATATAAGCAGAAACAAATGCAGCAGTAATTCAATTCAAGCAGTATATGTTAAAACCAATTATATAAACCATCTCTTCTAATAGAGTGTAGGACTTAGTGACGTCTTGCTGGAGAGCTGGAGATGTATGACACGACCTGGTTACAGGGTTTAAGCTCACTCACACAAACTTTGGTCTGGTGTCTTATCAGCTGAGGCATTGATCTCTCCAAAAGTCTTCTGCTCACTGAAGCTTTTAAAAGCATTAAGCTAATATTCACTGAAGGGCAGTGTTTCAGGAGTTATTCTTGTCACAATACACCCTTCAGTTCTCTCAATTGCCAGAGTTTCCTAAGAGCAGATGCTAGTGCAAAGGGATGGATAATCCAGAATGCAGTTGGAAGATAGGAGGTTCTTACCAAATGAGACCTATGTACTTCACATCCTGTCCTCCGCTGCCTTTCTTTTCAGTTTCAGATGTGCACACACCTCCTTTGTAAAACATAACCATAAGGAGTACAGTTGTTCACTGAGAGACTGAACTCTTGTGTTCACCCTGTCTTGTTTTGGCACCTCTTCAAGTCCTGCTGCTCCTGGTAGAGTGGGGTACAGAGCAGTGGGGTACAGAGCGTCAGTGAAAGCATGAAGCCATTTGGCCAAGAAAAAAGTAGTGTCTGAATGTAGGTGGAACTCACTATGACAGTTAAATAAAGGTCTGTAGCTGCACAGGGTCTAGTTTGGAGACTCTCAGCCTGTTCATTTCAGGACTACCTACTACCTACCTACTGGCAGTAGAAGAAAGATGATCACAGGGAGCTCTGTCTGAATAGGAAGCAAAGCTTCTTGTCTGTGAGGGTGACAGGCACTGACACAGGTTGCCCAGAGGGGTTATAGAGTCCTCTTTCCTTGGAGATACGCAGAAGCTGCCTGGACACAGGCAAGGGGGTTGGACTGGGTCTCCAGAGATCCCTTCCAACCATACGGTGATTCTGTGTATGAAGGATCACGTCTTGATGTCCCTGCTTGATGGGAAGTGTTATGTGCAGTGAGAGGAGTACTGTGTGGTCAGGGCACAAATCACATTGCTTGTGCCACTGCTACACTTACTCTGTGTTTCTGTATCTAAGATTGTGTGATTTTTTTAAGATTCTGTGATTTTTTTGTTGTTTGTTTTGTTCTTGTTTAATTGTGATTCACCAGTGAYGCAGGATCATATGTATCAAGTATATGTGATAATGAGCACTCTACACTAGTAGTACAGGCTTTTAGTTACTGGATTCAAGTGCCACAAATCTCAAGTATGTTTGGTCTGAAATCTGGGGCTCTAAGGTTATTTAAACATGGTGGCTCCAGCCATTCTCAATCTGCTCTTTTAAAGGTTTGACTGTAGAGGCTGAGTCAAGTGAAATTGAGAGCCAATGTGCACAACTGCCCCGGATTGGAGGTTCTGGTTATGAGGAAATCACGGTGGATTTGGCTCCCTGCCTGCCTGGTTTTGTAGCATTTGCAACTGGCCAGTACTTGTGGTCTGTTTAGTTGACTGSTATGAGCAGCTGATATTGCAGTAAGAAGGGTTTATAATTAGGTTTGGTTTCCTCTGCCCCCAGTGGCTTTGCCCTGCGTTGGAGAGGGGATTATGTTGTGTTGTGGAAGGGCTTTTGAAAAGGACCGTGTTTCAAAGTTCACTTTTTTGGAACTCACAGYAGCAATCACAGTGTGGTTTGCATTTAGTTGGTCTTCTGGCAAGGGCGAAGATATAAGAAAGTGTATGTGGTGGGTTTTGGATTGCTGGGACTTTTTTTTTTTTTTCTTTTTTAATGACCCAGTTAGATACTATCTTCTGGCTAGTTTCATTTCCCGTAAAATGAGTCTTTGTCCAAATTACTTCATATAATGGTATGCTAGAAACGTGAGAGGAAGCAACAGAATCCTTTAAAAACTGTTAAATTAATTATGTGCATATTGTGCCTTACTATTACATAGGAAACACTTCCTTCCCTTTTCAGTCTGGTCTGTGCACGCTCCTCTAACCAACACTCCTTCCAGAGGAATTTAAAGGTAGTCTTGGCATAACTCAGTACCCGATTGCCAGAACTTGTCATGGAAGTGTCATTAAGAAACAAGGGGAAAAGGATCCACTTTTGTACAAGTTGTGAACAGACATCTTGGCAGTAAGGTTGGGGTCACATTAATTTGTGCTAGTAAGCAATTCAGGCCAGTGATTTAAGGAGAAGTGGTAGYTCTGTCAGTAAAATATTGCACAATCACAGCCTAAACCAAGCGGGCCCTCCTGGTTTTCTGTTGTTRCTTGTATGTTGCAGGGTGTCAAGCCAGCCAGCTTCGATAAAGTAGCAATCCCTGAAGTGAAGGAGATCATCGAGGGATGCATTCGGCAAAACAAAGGCGAAAGGTAAGTTCTCCTCTGTACCCACCAATTTTATAACTATTACGATTAACTGTTTTGACAAAAATTAGGATGTGAACACTACAAATTCTGCAAGTTCTGTTCTTTGGTAAATGCTTGCCTGATACTCATGTTAGAGGGTTCTTTGCAAATGCTGGCAGGAAAAGTGCTAATGTTATAGCAACCATCCTTATCGGTTTGTTTAGGCAATGCACCCTTCTTATTACAACTGTGAGCTAGTCAGTAAAACAGTGACGGCAAATCCTTCCAGATTCCRGGGTTTTGGATTGTTTGTTGGATTCCTCATTCTCCTGCGCTTGCTCTTCCCTCCTCAGCCCATCTGTTTGATTCTCTTGGCATGTGATGGCTGATCACTTTGTGGACTCTCTGTTCTAACTTTTCTCTATTCATATTTAYTCCCAGTTTCCGGGGGATGATTTCTGCTTGAAGTGCTTAACTTATAGTAAATCTGTAATATTATATCTATTGATTCATTTGTGGTTTTTTTTCTGCTTTGCCATGGTTGTTGCTTACTAAAGGTCCCATTTAGGAATGCTTCAGCCTTCTGCCTTTCTCCAGCATCCCCTGTCCTCCTGTCTGGCCTTCCATCCAGAGCCATTTTTTGTCAGTTTATGGACAAGCTGATTTTGTGGCTGCACATCACCCCTTGCCATTGAGACCACTGCCGTTACATCGTGCATGTCTGAGTGTAGATTGTCTTTTAATTTTGTTGATTAGGTAACTGGTAACGTTTACGCTCGTCATATACTTGCTCACACATCTATACAGCTAATATGACTGCAAGTCAAGCCTTATCAGCTCTTTAGGACAGAGTGGTGGCTTTCCTCTAGTTAGGTCTCATATCTTAGTTTGTTAGAACTTAAATGCGAGAATCATGAAATGAGGACTGATTCTCAATATGCCTTTTTCTGCTACTTGAACTTTTCTGAAGCCTGTTATTGCCAGGCTCAGTTCCCAGTGTCAGAAGAATTATGTAGCATTGCAAGTTCAGCATTGCAAGCTTCTGATTACACCAAACAGCACAAGCTGAAATGGTTCAAAAGTAAAGGGGAAGATCTGGTGCTTAACYAGTGCCGAATTAAATAGATGAGATTTTTGGATTCTATCTTGAAATATTTAATTTAGAGTACTGTACTGATCTGGGGAGGAAAGGTTATGTACTGGATCTTAATCTTCAACAAAGCCGAATGTTTCTTCAAAGTTTCTTGTTTGTTGTTTTAGTTAATACAGAGCCTGTTAGTTCAATTGGCCTAAAATCTCTTGGCACTTGTGCTGTTATGAACAGTGTGTGTTTTTTGTACATCTCTAGTAGCATTCTACTGAATTTCACATTTCAAAAGGGAAATATGAACTATACACTGCAAATGATTAATGGGAGAAGCATGAAGTGTAGCTGAGTAAATTTGTAGTACTGTCAGTCAATGATATTTCTTAGTATTTTATCAAAACCTAATAACTGTGTGTGCTTTCTACACTCTTTTCCAATGTGCTAGATATGCTATTAAGGATCTTTTGAATCATGCCTTCTTCCAAGAAGAGACCGGAGTACGGGTAGAACTAGCAGAGGAAGATGACGGAGAGAAAATTGCTATTAAGCTCTGGCTGCGAATTGAAGATATCAAAAAACTCAAGGGCAAATATAAAGATAACGAAGCAATAGAGTTTTCTTTTGACCTGGAGAGAGATGTCCCAGAGGATGTAGCCCAAGAAATGGTAAGTGGTGGCCTTACAAAGCATTGAAGGTGCTGTCATTCTCTGATACCAAAACGTGGCCTGTCAGCTTCTGCATTTGCTGTTTCCTTACTGTCTGGAAGTAGAAGCTCTTCCAAAGTTTAGAATGAAAAGTTAGTGCAGGAGAGTGATAAGCTCTGTTGTAGCACTACAGCAGTGTCCGTGTTTGACTGTGAATCCTGTGGATGTCTCTTCCTTCAGGTGGAATCTGGCTATGTCTGCGAGGGGGATCACAAGACAATGGCAAAAGCCATCAAGGACAGGGTGTCTTTGATTAAGCGGAAGCGAGAGCAGCGTCAATTGGTGCGAGAAGAACAGGAGAAGAAGCTGCAGGAAGAAAGTAGTCAAAAGCAACAGCTGGAGCAGCAGCAACCGTCAAGCACTTCCCATGCAGGCTCAAAGCATCCCCAGTCTGTCACTGGTCCTGCTTCTGTCCCCACTACTTCAGCTTCAGTTTCCACACAGGTGGAGCCTGAAGAACCAGAAGCTGATCAGCACCAACAGCTGCAGTTCCAGCAACCCAGCATATCTGTTCTTTGTAAGTGTGTCAGGTGGTTTGTTTTTGTATCTTTCTTGTGCACATAGTGTTTTTCTGCTTTAGGAGTCTTTAAGCTCCCGACGGATATAGTAATAAATATCTTAAGATGTTGCTGACTCCTGAAGAACGTTAGCACACTAAAAGACGTGGCAAAATAAGATGCATTTCTGTGCCCTAGCTGAGCCAAATCGTGGCACAATCTACAATGTGTCTTAACGCAAAATTGTTTTTCTAAATTTTGAGTTAATACAGRGAATTAACCAGGGCACCTGAAGTGTGAACAGATGTTCTAGTTTTTGCTGCCCTGCTATTAAGAACAGGAACTTCTGGCTTTCTAAGCAGTTACCTCTATTTACACCAGTTAGAGCCATGAGAAACACCTATTTGCTTGTTAAATTTGTTTCAGGTAGCAGTTAGATTGACACAAACAGTTTAGCTCATAATTCAGTTACTGAAAAACTCTTTCATTTCCTGTTTTGTTGACCATGCATAGCAAGAGAACCCATTTCCAGTGGGTTAAGGGAAGGCATATTAGTAAAGCATTATACTGAGGAAGAAAAGATTCTTATATTTTTGCACCAGCCTAARTATTATAAGAAATAAAAGGCTGATAATGCCAACGTGGCATGACACAAACACAGTCTGGTGTATGGTTCACTGTAAGATCTTTATGTGGTGCATCCAGAGTTCAATTTTTRAAATGTGGATTTTTATCTTTAACCTCTGCAGCTGATGGGACWGTTGACAGTGGCCAGGGGTCATCTGTTTACACCGAATCATGTGTGAGCAGCCAGCAGACCGTGTCCTATGGCTCCCAACACGAGCAGTCCGTTTCAACAGCTGCAGTCCCGGGATACGCAGCTTCGGTTGGCCAAGTGCAGTCACAACAGCATGGAGGATATCAGCCACCTGCAGTGGTAAGCCAGAATTTACAGCATCACAAACACTTGCAAGTAGCTTATTCTGCATTTCTCTTGAAAGGCGACAGGAAAATCTGACAGCCAATCTTCACTGTTTTGCRTGTGATAAAAATTCTGCACAGGAGCAGTATATGGGGTATTTTTCCAGGGGGGCTAAGGCTAGTAAAAACATGCAAGGCATATTTGCCTTTAAGGCATAAGTTTTTATTTGATCTTGAGCATGCGTTGAGGCAAAATTGATGGGTTAATAGGTTAGTAGTTTCTTTTGACAGATGTAACATTCTGAGGATAAGGTTGTGTCATGAAAATGAGCACTTAATCTCCATTAGAAAGATGCTGCAAGCTACTTTGTGTGTACATGTTAAGTTACCAGGGTTGTTGGTTGGTTACCAAGTTGTTGGGTTGATTTGAAGAAAGGACTRGAGTAATTTAAAATGGTGTATAAGTGTGAAACTGCTATATGTGTTCTGTGAGGCTTTAATTGCAGACACTGCAGGTAAGATTTTTAACTGTTATAGAATGCTGCATGTGAGAACTCCAGACTGAAAAAACCCACATCCTTGTACCCACTTTTATTTTTAGCTTGTGTTGATTTGCTCATCAGTTGCCATGCATATTATTTTTCCCTGGAAAGTCTGCATTGGGCACAAAATACCTTTCCTACAATGTTTGTTTGTGTTGCCCTCTTTTTTTTTTTTTTTTTCCTTTTGGTATGTTTTTTCCTTGGTGTGTTTTAGAATCTAGTTTGAGAGTACGCAGAAATCTACTTCAAATCTAGAGTAGAACTTCTGCTCCTGTTGTATTGTCTTCAGTGGTTCCCTTCTCTTTTTTTTTCTTAATAAAAATTAAAAGTCTAAACCTGAGGTAGATAGATTATTCTATAATGTAGTAAAACCATATGGGAGAAGCAACACTTCTGAGACTTGAGAGTCCTCACTTACTTTTCTTCCTTTTCGTACCTGTGGTTGTAAACTTTATCGAAGAGTCATTGATATTATTAGCTTTTTGAAAAAGATTTTGATTCCACTCGCAAGCAAAGCCTCTCCATCCTTTCCTAAGACAYTTAACCTGAAGCTTGCTCTGTGGTGACGACAGCGGTTCCAGAAGGTTGACAGGATGGAGTAGATCACTCCAGCACCTGCTGACAGGAGGACAAGTCAAAATGTTTTTAACACCTGAAGAAATGGCCTTAAAAAGAAGTAGAATGCAGTTTGATAAGGACAARCACAATGTTCACTCTTAAAGAGGAATAATCAGCTACAGGAGTACAGGATAAACAACTTGAATAGGCAACAATTCTGCTAAAAAAAAGGGGTCAGGGATTACACTGGTCCACAAGCTGAACATGGTCAAAAACATCATGCTGTTGTGAAAAAGGCAAACATGCTATGTGGGGTAGTTCTTCTATTCTTCCTGACCATTGGTAAGTCTATTCTGGGCACTGTGCTCAAGGAGAGATCAGAGTAAATTGGGAGAGAATTCAGAGGAGAGTGATAAAAGTCACAGAAATCTAGAAAATACAGTTTATGTGGGAAGACTGAAAAAATTAAGTTGGGTCTATTGAAGGAGAGAGAAAGCTCTAAGTATGTAAAGGCAGCTGGAAAAGAGAGTAATCTAATCCCCACATCCTTGTCAATGAGGACAGGAAATAATGGGCCTAAATTGCAGCAGAAAATACTGCTTGGGAGAAGTTTTCTTTGTAATCAACAAGGATAATTAGGCACCGCATCCTCCATTTCTCTAGAGATGTCTCTAAAGAGGCTAGGCAAACTAGTCAAGAATGCCGCGTGTAACTAGGCTTGCCTTGGGACACGATTAAGATGAAGGATAAAGTATTTAATCTCTTGAAATCCCTTTGTCCCCCTTTCTCAAAATTTTGAGCAGTTTAGCAAGATTTATTGGAAGTCTTAAAAATTACAGATTTCTGCTGGACTTCTGAATTATTTTTCCTGGAGGTTTGTATTGGATTTCAATTTTGTAAAGAGATTCTGTAGAAATATCTGCAGGAAGTTTATACCTCTCTCAAACTTCATCATTCCATTCACTTTCATTTTAAGCAATTCAGATTCTTCCAGATGGTTGGGTTTGGACTTGCTGTCTTCTGTGTCGTGGCAAGATTACAGAATCTTGGTGCTTTTATTGGCTCAACGTCTGGAAAATACTTTTCTGAAAGGCTGATTTTACTGCATTTTCCAAATAATGAAACAACATTTTTCTGCAGCTCGTGTTGCAGAGTCTGTAACGTGCAAATTTTTATGGTGATGCTTTAGATGACTAGCGAGGCMGCTGTATCTAGTTAGTCCAGTTAACCAGTTAAGGAAGGGGCCAAGAGGGAGACTGGTGAGGCAATGTATATAAACACATATGTATAAACACACACCTCAGCAAGCAGGGAGGTTGCAAAGCCTGGTCAGTCAGTGTTTGGGGGGTTTTCAATCGTCAAACTACCAAGTGCTGCAAATGTCACATCGGTGGCACCAGAGCACCTAGACTCTCCTGTCTTTTKTGCCCTCAGTATAATTCCTGTAAGGGCCCTAGGAAACCTTCCTCAGTGCTCCGTAATCTAAGACAAATTCGAGTCCTCCAAGGTGCATATATCTCATTCCTTGTACATGTTGGCATTCATTCAGCATTTTCATATCTTCCTGCACACACRGTAGTTAGTACCGGGCCTATCATTGTGTGTCTGCATTTCTTTTCTATCATTACAGTTTTACTGGTTTTGTTTTTCATTTTTTTGAAGTGTTCAATTCTTAACTTTTGTTTTCCTCCTTAGCCTCAACGTGGTCGTAGCATGTCAGTTTGTGTCCCCCACCTTCCTGCTCTTCCCTCTATGTCCTGCATCCCTCTCAGTGCTCCTTCCACCCCACCACCAGCGCTGTCTGCACCTCTTTCTCCTTTCTACCTTCGGACTGTCCCTGAAGAAACCTTTGCAGAAAAGCTTTCTAAAGCCCTGGAAAGTGTCCTGCCCATGCACTCTGCCTCTCCACGCAAGCACCGACGCTCCAGCCTGCCCTCCCTCTCTGTCAGTCCTGTATGTGTTGCCATTTGCCTCCTGGCACAGTAAGATAAGTTACATTAAATACATCCTTGGCCTTTGGCGTTTTTAAAATGGTAAAAGGAAACGTTGATTCTTTGTTCCATACAACTAAGCTGCTAGAACCTTGATCTTTTGTGAGAAGTGGTCAACCACTCTTTGATAATGTTTGATTTAGAAGTTTAGGCTTGTCTAAATTGGTCAACAGTAGTGCAGAAGATAAAGGGAAGACTAGTTCTTACTGTTTCTTTATTTGCAACTTATGTGCAAGAAATGAATCTTAATTGGGCCTGAAATATCAACTTTTAAAGCTTAGCTGCTGCAGCTGGTTACCCTAAAAGCTTTGACTAGCTGTGGTTGTAGTACTAAAATTTTGTAATTTGAAAACTTATTTGAGTTTTTCTGTAAGTTTTAATAGGAAATACTGCTTTAATTTCTTCATGGGAGGAAGCCATAATGTCATATTTTTCTTATATTTCTGGAGTAATTACTTGCAGGCCAGGTGTAGAATGACTAAGAGAAGGGCAAAAGGTGATCTTTTTCAGTAATTGGTTTTGTCCTTCGATTTATATAATAAGCTTTGAGGTAAATTTTCTCTGTATTTGAAATACACAGAGCTACTTCTTGGACCATAGGAAAATTTCTTCATTCAGCAGGACCATTTTATTGGTGTTATTCAATATGGAAATTTGCTGCTGCTTTTCTGGAAAGGGGTGGGAGAGAAACAGGACAGCCTAAYGGAAACGGCAACTTGAAAAAGTCATAAATAACACCAGTCTTGACAGTACACTTGTTGCAAACTTCTACAGTTTTTGGTTTTGGGATCCAAATTATATTTCAGCCTAGCCTACTGTAGTATACCTCAGCATAATGTAGGCAGAGTTAAAAAAAAAAAAAAATAATAAAAGGAACAACTACAGAATTTGCATAGTATTCTTCATGTGAGTATTTCTTACAGCCCTTAACAAGGATGAGCCTCATATGGCGTAGCACATGAGATGGAGTGGAATTCCTTAGGGAGTCTTTTATTAATAATCCTGTGAATGTTTTGCCATCAAGGCACAAGAAAAAGAACAGTCTGTTGTCTCAGTGAATGTTTTAAAAAAGAAAGTGTGAAAAGCAATGGTCAGAATTTGCCAAAAATGATCAAAAGGGATGATCCTTGGGGTGTTTTTGTTGCTTGTTTGTTTTTTGTAGGCTGAAATTGTCCAGCCTTGTCTTAAAGTGTCTCTCATTAGCTCCCTGRTATCATACAGCACACAGGCTCCTGGTGGGACAACAGTACTGTGTTTTTTACATTAGATAATTTTAAGATTTCATATCATTCTTGTAACTATAAAATAGAGGCTCTGTGTTTTTGCTGTTAGCTAGCAAGTTCTGAACTCTAACTTAATTTCACATGCAGCACTAACTTTAGGGATTTGATTGGACTACAAGCACTGATACTAATGGATAACCTATGGCGATATATCCCATTTTAYTGTCAGAAGCATAGCTGATTTTTTGAGGTGGGAATGGATGAATGATTGGGGTTGGACTGGAAAAGCAGCTATAACACAAGCAAATATTTCCATTTGTTGCTGTGCCAGCCATGGATGTATTTAATGGATATTTAGAACACATCTAACTTTCCTAAATACTGTATGTTTTTGACCATGAATTTAGTAGCCATTCTATAAAGTTACTTCACAGAACTGCCTAGTGAACTGTGCATGTTAATGTGCTTTCACTTTTAATGTATGAATTACCTGTCTTGTTCATGTCAATACAGCCTCAGCATCCGCGTGGGGGAACACCACCGTTCCCAGACTCACAGATATTTTTCCCAACCGTTCATGAACGGCCGGTGTCTTTCTCGCCACCGCCTCTCTGCCCTCCGAAGGTGGCAGTTGCCCAGCGCCGCAAGAGCACCTCTTTTTTGGAAGCCCAGACTTGCCACTTCCAGCCAGTGCTGAAGACTGGCCAGAGTTTAGTCCCACCCGGTGGCAGTCCCACCAACTGGACACCGGAGGCGCTGGTTATGCTGGGCACTGCAGCTCACAGAGTCACTGGAGAGCCACTGCACRTGCAAGTCAATCCCGTGTTTGAGCCAGCTCCTGTGCACAGTGACTGTAGATCTGGACCGGCCCCTCCGGAGGATGCTCCCTACCGCATGCATCCCGAAGCCGTGTATTTGGTGGGCATGCACTATCCAGCGCAGGAGCAGTACGATCAAGTAGCGTATAGCTCTCCGGCGCCGGAGCAACACGTGAAGCAGGTCTCTGAGGCGAAGCACGTGCAAGGTGGTCCTCCACAGAGCTCGGTGTTTGACTTTCAGCCCGGCCAAACGTACCTGGCCAGGCACGTCCAGAACCTGAGACTGGATTCGGGGATGGCTCCTCTTTCTCCGCTGTCGAGTGTTTCGGCTCCCCTGAGCGCAGAGCCCGCTCCGCTGACGTTCCACCAGGTGTTCGTGCCGCACTCGGCGCCGGCCGTGCTCTCGCACGGCGGGGATGGCAGAACCAGCTGTGTCTTTGAGTTCCACGTGCACACGCCGAGCGCGGCGCCCGCCGAGGGCGGCGCCTTGACCCCGCGGGTCTACAGAGGTCGGCGGTGCTCTGCGGAGAGCAGCCAAGAGGAAGCCGCTCCTCCGGGCGTAGGGTTGCATGGTCGGCTTCAGCCTGTCACGGAGGAGCAGTGTAACTATCTTGGTCCTGAGGCCGCAGGGCCCAGAGCGGGCTCTGCCAGGCAGAGCTGGCCAGAAGGAAGCCCAGAGTACTCCAGTGATTCCTCACAGCTGACTTCCTCTGACACCGGCGACTTCCAGTCTCCTCCTCCTACGGGAGGCTCATCTTCTGCTTTCGGTTCAGACTTTTCCTTGCCTGTTGTTCAGCTGCCTCAGAAGGTGTTACAGGAGTCCCAGCTCTTCATCTGCTTCCCTCAGGGAGCTTCGAGTCAGCAGGCCTTGTCCACCTCGCTTCCATCGGGACCACCTACCCTCTATCCGCAGGTTACAGGAGCAAAGCCTTCCAGATTTTCTCTGCTTTTTATAAGGGGAACCTTGCTCCGTGTGCTTCTAAGTCATAGCACTCACGGGRGTGTCTCAGTCAGTAGCATAGTAGGATGTCTTTAACTTAAAGGGCTGTCATTAATAAATCAGTGGTAACTCCTTGCTCTGTTTTTGGCCCTGGGTGAAGTGTTGGAAAAGCTCGGGAGCAAATGGTGGGCGTTGCTCCTTGGCCTAGTTGTCGCTTTGGAAATAGGGAGCTCTGATACAAAATTGGCTGTTGACCAGTGGGTTTAATGAGATCCATCTTCTACCGTGTTCAAAGCAGTAGTGATTGCAGACCCTGTTTTGTGTCATTTTTTCCTGCTCTGTAGCCATTTAAAGGGAATGTGTTATTTGAAGTTGAACGCCGATAGGAGTAATGATTTGTTGGAGAGCACTGAGGGAAAGGAAGCATGGAGGAGGAGGAATGGGGGCCATGTATGTCCCCATTCCTAGATTTAGAAATGTACTTGAGGGATCATGAAAGAAACTAAAGAAGCTGAGTAGTAAACTAATGGGACAAATGGTCATTGTTAATAGGTATTGCTTTCCTTTTAAGCTAGGTTTTTTATGATGCTCCTTAAAAAGGCAAAATTTGCAGCAGAAGGCATAAATGTACATGTTATTTTCCCTTGCAGTAGTCAGTGTAAYATCCTTCAGCAGGTGTACATGTATACCTTGTGTCTGCGGTTGTAGTCTAAAAAACTTCCTCACAAGTTGATATTTCCTTCATGTGAAAAGAGGTTTACTTGAAGCACAGCTCTCTCAAACCTCCTGCTTTGGTTCTTCTTGAAATTTCTTTGTCTGAAAGGAAATAGAGGAGAACTGTTGCTTTTTCTGTGGTAACATCAAGTGCTAAGAATTTGGTGCCTTCTTTGGCACCAAATGGTGGTGTCATACAGGTCTTTTGTTCTATCTCCAGTATCTGATAAGGTTGTCAAACCCAGCTTTAACACTAATCTAACAGTAATTTCTGTGCTTTAGGAGAACTTGTGGAGTGAGGCGGCTGTGCTGGAGGTTTGAAAACTGTTTGGGGATTATTTCTCCATAAACAGCCTTGCTAACAAACTTTAGTGGATGACTTCTGGTGGATGCAAAGCAAGTTTGGAAAATACCATAAGGAGTGATCATTTTACAGAATGTATGTTTTGGGAGCTCTTCTCCAATTCGTTCAAGAGCAGKGTGTAAAGCTGTAAATAGAAACAGTGTGAATAGTTATTATAGCAATAGGAGACAGAGCATTTTAATCCTTCTAGCAGCAAGAGCCTCAGAAAGCTTCTAAAATAGAAGACAAAAAAGAACTCAAAGCTTTTATTTTCATGGTACACTTCACTTTGCCTGAAGTTTCTAGGATAATAAAAAAATAAAAATTTTTATAAACTTTCTGCTGTTAAGCTTCTGCAAACTGAGTAGCTTTAAAAAATGTAGTAGATTCCTAATATAATAAATATGTACCAAATAAGTTTCTTACAAAGGCAGTTACTAAAGCAGGCTCAGGGACTTTGCCTGTAGGTGTTTCTCTCTGTTGCCTAGTTGTGTCCCAGGATCTTACTGAAAAAATGTAATACTTGCAAAAATAATAATGAAACTCCAGAGGTCTGATCTCCATTCCATTTTCTCTGCATCTTCCACATTCATTTGTAATGCCATTCACTCTTTTTTTTAATTATTTTTTATTTTTTATTACTTATTCAAAATTCTGTTTTAGCTTGGACTCAGAACCCAGCCTCTTCAGTACCTGATTTTTATTGGCCTTCCAATGGTAATGAGTCTGAAAATACCTTTTTTTTTTTTAGCGTGGATTTTGACATGCCCCTGTAAAGGAGCCCTGAGTATTTTGTTACTGGTCTAAAACTCTGTAGCTCTTTGATTCTTTGCAGATAGAGTTTTATTTCCTTCGTAGCCTCCTTCTATCCCCCCACCTAGATGTATTCAGAACAGATGTAAAATCTAATGCCTCTATTTCCAGTTATCATACCAAGGCATCTCAAGCTTAAAGCATCATCACTGGAAGAAGCAGCTGGTAGGCTGATCTGTCTAATGTTGAGGGGCATTTGGGTTACAAAGAACTGGTTGTTTTGAAAGGTTTAAATTGAGTTTGATGCTTTTCCAGATTGCTCTGCTTTGCTCTGGATTTTGTAGTGGAATTTGGCCTAAATGACTGCTTGTCCAGAAGGACAGCTAGGAACTTTCTTCAGCCAAATTGTTCCAGCTAGGAGCGGTTTAAACTGTCCTCTGTGGTAACTATAGATGCATTTAAGCTCATTCTTTTTCTTCTCTGTCTTCCTCTAGACACAAGTGCAAGGCCAGTCAGCCTCAAGCAGTGCATCGGTGCCATCCCAGTCTACCCAACACACTCAGCAGGTAAGACTGAAGTCTTAAACCGGGGCTAAAATACTTTCTGTATAGAGTTCTGATGACTTTTCAAGAACCATCCTCTTCCCCAGCCCCCTCATCATCAGCCCAAAAAGTTTTGGGTATCAGAAGAGGAATCCTCTGAGGAATTTAAAAGGAAAGTTATGAGACTAACTGCACTGAATTTTTGACATTTATTACAATCATATTAAATATTAGTTCTCATATATCCTTTTCCCATGTGAATTTGCAGCAGAGGTCCCGTTGAAGGAAAGGCACATAAGAATTTGCAAATTACTGTCTAGACAGGCAGACTTCGCATAATTTCTCCTGACTCGAAATACTTTGTTCTTCAACATCCTGCCTTTGCAGAATCAGGGCAGAATAACCCTGCAGAAGCAGGGCCCTTATTTCAGTTGTGAAAGCAAGATTTGGTGCTGGTAGTAAAGTTGCATTGGCCTTAAAAACTTCCCACTGAGAGGAGGAAAAAAACTTGTGTCTCTTTTCCCTGCTCCAGAATGTGCAGCCGCCGGCCCCTTCCCAGCAGCCTGGCCAGTACCAGCTGCAGCAGCCATCGGTTTCTGCTGGCGCCGCTCCCACACAAACGGTCTCTCAAACACAGACTTCACAGGTTATGCCAATGCCTCAGGCACCAGCTGGGACACAGGTAAACAATGTTCTTCTTTCTAGCAAAATATTTTTGTGTTCTCTTAACAGCTGGAAAATCCAACATACTGCTATTTTCACTTTTGTCTTCTTTTCTAATGATTCCAAAGCATTCATCCAGATAGTGCTATTCTTAGGGTACTACAGCTGCCAGTTTTGCTGGAAACTGATATGTGTTGGAAGCCAGTTCGTTGACATGTGGCAGTCATGAATTATTTATTATGGAGGGGAGGAATTGCATTTCTGTGCACAAAAATCTTTGAACAGTCAAAATATTATGAGATATAGATGAAGAGTACTATGAATGCGTTTTCAGGAACTTGGCATTTCTCTGCTTCCCATAAAACATACATCTTCTGCACCATTATGGGTGTGAAACATGTTCACTGAGGTAGTGAGCCATAAGGACTGCCTTTCCGTTCTGTCATCTCTCTCATTCAACTCTTCTCCTTTACTCCCTGACCAAGAAGCTTCTGTTACTGACTGTTTTGGCTCATATATTGGTCTTGAACATGTGAGCCATGATTTTGTGTTTTTTAAATTATTGTTTTGTTGCTTGTACATCTAAACTGCCTCTCCAGTTGCTTCATTTGCTGGCTTCGATTGACCTATCCCCTGCCATTCTCTGAATGCTGGCACAGTGGCTTTTCATTCCCCCTTACTTTAGTCCCCATTCCTCAAGTGGACAGACTTGCTGAGCRATTTGCACTTCTTCCCCATAAGAAGGCAGGCTTGGCACTGGGGACAGAGGTGGGGCAATTGGGTTCTATGTAAGTGCATGTCAGTGCTTTGGGTTATTCAGACACTGCTCTTTTGCCCTCCGTGGGGTGCGTTTCAAGAGCGTGCTGGCTTCTTCCAGGGAAGTAGTGCAAGGTGAGGACCTTTGGGACCTCCAGCTGACTTCCCAGCCACTCTGCCATCTGTGCTCCCCCCTCACACTTTAGCTGCGTGCTATAGCTTGAATAATTCTTTCTTTGACTAATGCATAAAAATTCTGCTTTCTGCAACCCTGCTTCCTAAAAACCAAAAATCTATCTCTATTTTCTTTACCTCCCCAGCTTCCTGTTTCCCAACCAGTGTCGATCATCCAAGGCGAGCCTCAATTACCTGTTGCAGCACCTTCTCTCCCTCAGCCTTCAGTTGCCCCRCCAGTCCCTGTCGGCTCTCATTTTCTACCCATGGGACAGCCCTTGACAAGCTCCATGCTCCCCCAGTTCTCAGTCTCGCAGTTGCCCGTAGCAGCTCCTCACGTGTCAGTGGCTCAGCCAGGTTTCCAGTCGCTGCCCAGTTCCATGGCAGCTGGCATCAATCAGCCCCTGCTCACACTGGCGACATCCGCTGCGGCAGCCGCTGTGCCCGTAGGATCGACTGTTGTCCCTAGCCAGCTGCCCACGCTCATGCAGCCTGTGGCTCAGCTGCCCAGCCAGGTTCTCCCGCAGCTCCTGCAGCCAGCTGTCCAGTCCGTGGGATTGCCAGCCAGCATTGGACAAGCTGCTGAGGCTTCACTTCCTGCTGGAGATGCTCTTTACCAGGTATTGTTGCAAGCCAGCAGAGCTCTTCTCCCCGTTTTTCAACTGTTCCTCTGTGGTACCAGACCYGACCTGTGTGCCCCGGCCAGCTCACTCCTCTGAGGAGAGCCACTGAGCCACAGAAATGTGTTCTGTTTCGGGGCAAAAGGCCTTAAAATACAATGTCATTGGACTCCCTGCTATTTTGATTTTTTTTTTCTTAGTTGGCATTGGAATCCATCTAAGATGGCAAATGTTGCTGCAGAATTGTAGTCATCCACTGTGTGTGGAAGTTACATGTCCATGTCATCTGTCAACGTAGCATTCTGATTATGATTCTGAGCTGTAACATTCTGATTATCATTTTAAAAATGAGGGCCATACTTTGGAAAGAGAATGTGGCAACATATTCAGCAACCTCAGTATTTCATTCCTAGTCTGGAAGGAGGGAGGGAAATGGGAATTTTGTAGCAGTAAGCCAGACTGCATGGATCTTGAACATGAAGTAAGTACCTGATGCTAGTCATGAAATGCTAGAGTGGTGGGCAGGGACTGTTTCAGCTGCCTTCTGCAATAGCTGAATATGACGAGCTTAACAGGGCAAAGGTAGTGACTCAGCACGTGATCTTCTAGAAGGAAAATGATATAGATGTAGCCATATATGTGCTGGGATTAGGCAACACTGTAGAGCAGGAGCTGTGCGTAGGAATGTCACTTGGTTCCTGCACTCATTGTCACAGGACGGAAAGACCGCAGGGGAGGATTCTTCATATTAGTTTGGAGAATCAGCAGCAATTGCATAACCTGTTCCGTGTGGTGACTGTTCAGCTTAAATTCTTCAAAGTCTTTTAAATTTCAGATCTTAACATATTAAGTCAAGTAGGCAACAGGGGAGAAGTGGAATTCTCTTCCTGAAGCCTTGACACCTCTGGGTGGGAATTTGCTGCTTCAAGCATGGTGGCTCAGGAGCTGAGCATTGCTGCGTGAGCCGCCTGCTCTGGGAAAGGGGTCTTTGGATGTGCTTCAAGAGTACATGAGGGAARCGGTTGGAAAGTGCCCCTGGAATTGTGTGGGGCTGTTGCCCCTGTGTTTTCTTATGGTTTCTTATTTTGCACTGACAGGCACTAACTTGTCTACCTCCTTTCTCTTGCAGGGCTTCCCATCTCGGCTGCCACCACAGTACTCAGGGGACTCAAATGTTGCACCCTCCTCTGCTGTGGCCTCTGTTTGCCTGCCTTCTGCCGTGCTCTCCCCTCCCCTGCCCACAGATGCCGTGGCTCAGCCAGGCTACCTTGCTGCCGTGGTGCAGCCCTACGGGGAGCAGAACGTTTTAGTTCCTGTGGGGGGCCTAGGAGGGCAGGCTCAGATGCCGCCCCAGCCGCCTGCAGTGAGTTTGGCACAACAGGCCTCGTCTGCCTCCTCCCAGCAGGTAGCTTTGGAGGTAAGTGCTGCACGCTGGATATAAGGAAACAGAACACTCGAGGTGTTTGTATTGCTCAACAATGTGTGTGGGGGGGACTGACCCCTTCCCTGCTTGTCTTCAGATGGATGTTAATGTTTCAAACGACCTTTTTCTTACAGCAGAATATCTTGCAAATGTGGGGACCTTGTTGTCACTGGCTGTTCTGTTGGGAAGTGAGTGTGCCTTCTACAGGCAAAAACCTGTTAACACTTCACTTCTTGCTAGCACTGTAGATCCTTTTTTTTTTTTTCCTATATAAAAGACAAACAGCAGCTGATAGCCTCTCATTATACTGATTCCCTGCAGCATTGTTATTGCTGGGGAGAAACTTGAAACAAGTCTCCGTTCTGCATTGGCTTGCCTTTTGCACAGTGCAGATTTCTGACTGCATGGCAAACTGTAGTGACATGAAGTAGCAAATAGGAATGGCTGGCTTCCCCCCATCCCCTTCCCTCTCCAAGATAATAATTTGCTTCACTGCAGTTTGCTTTAGAGTCTTTTGCAAATTTGAGCTGTCTAAATTCCAGTTGTTTATATAAAGTTCTAGAGAGGTTGCCTTACAGCTGACTTGGGAAGAAACCTTGAAGACTCTCTGGTGACTCAGAAAAGAACAGGATTTTCAGGGGGTTCTTGCCRTATATTTCTACCACAGGGTACTCAGGGAGTCTCACAGACTGCTGCTTCCGAGTCTCTGCCATCAACGCAGCCTGCTCAGTCTACTCCTTTGGCTTCCTCTATGGATAGGTAAGCACTGTTTTATTTCACTTAACTCAATTTGACATATTTAATTACTCTTCACTGCGTGATCTTTTTCCCTCAGTACCTTTTTTTTCCCACTGTTTTTTGATAATGAGAAGAAATAAACTTCCTAGAGGAAAAACAAGCTTAAAGAGCTGGAGAAGGCTTTGTTTTGCAGCAGCATATGGAGAAAGTAAATAGTCATGTATAGTTATGTAGTGTAAAGTCGTCTGTATTGATGTCACACAGATCTCCAGGGATGTTTTTCTCTATACTTTTGCTATCACAGAGTTCAAAACCTCAGTAACGTGTTCAGAAGAAAAAAGTTCTGAAGATACACTGTTTAGCATCTTAAAAGATATAGATAAATAATTGCTATTGCAGTTAGTATCTGAGCAACCTTACGTGTTGAAAGGATTCTTCGCTCATGCTCTGCTGTTAACAGGCACCCACTGCTATCCTGAAGAGGAGAAGGGTAGGGTAAAGAGTAGGGTATGCTAGATTGGGTACTAATTTAAAGCTGTTCTTGTTTTGTAGTGCACATTCTGATGTTGCTTCAGGGCTGAGTGATGGCAATGAGAATGTTCCAACTTCTAGTGGAAGGCACGAAGGGAGAACCACCAAACGTCACATGCGGAGGTCTGTCCGCAGCCGCTCTCGCCACGAGAAGACTGCTAGGCCCAAACTGAGAATTCTCAATGTGAGTATATTTTGTTCTGGTGGCAGCATGGTGCTGGTGATGCTTTTCTTGAACTTCAAAAGCAAATTTCTCTTGAAGAACTGTGCCTTCTGTGTGCTTGTTTCGTATGCTGCTGTTGTGTGGCACCTCTTGTGAGCACATGAGCTATTTCTTCTGCTTCTGGAGTTGGTGTTGCAAAAGTCACCCATTGAGAGTTTTGGAGAGTAGTACAGACAATTATTAATTAATTGCATATAATTGATAATATAATTCATTATATGGCAAAATTAGCTTGCTAGTGATTTTACAGACAGTTCCATGTGATTTGCCTTCTTGTTCACAAAGTGATGTATATTTATAGTGGCATACAAATCCAGAGGCAAGAGTTTAATCAGATAGTTTCACCAATGTCTTTTGTGTATTTTCTGAAATACTGGGGCAGCTTTCTTAGCATCTTGCTTCTACAAAAAGTGGGAGGGAAAAATGGAACCTCTGGAGAAGAGTGTAGACAAGGTGAGCTTGAAGCCATGAGTGATTGGAACCAGCTGAAAAGGATGCTGCAGTATCTTACACCAGATAGCAGACCAGAAAAGGAAAACGGTGTTCTTGGAGCTGCCTTTTTGATTTGTCTCGGTGAGCTTTAAGACAAATTTTGTTTTCATTTGAATTTTTTTGTTTGTTTTGCTGTGCTTTAGGTTTCAAATAAAGGTGATCGGGTAGTGGAGTGCCAGCTAGAGACACACAATCGGAAAATGGTTACTTTCAAATTTGATTTGGATGGTGACAACCCTGAGGAAATAGCTTCTATTATGGTAAGATATTTGGGGCTTGAAGAACTGATTCCAATCTTAGTCACAGAAGTGATATTAGTGATATAAGTAATTACTAATTATGTAGTAGTGTAAGTATGTGCTACTGTRAGCATGTAAGCAGAAGTAGAAGTTCCGGGCAAAAAGACTAGTTGTCCCAAAGCTAGTATTGCATACTCAGTTCTTTGAAGACTTGTGTCTGTTTTACCACTGTACCTCAGTTTTAGCAAGTAAGCCTGCTTTTGTTTGATTGCAGTCTAACTTTGGGTAAAACTACAAAGAGCTTTCTGGAAGCGCCAGGTTAAACAAATGCTGTTTGCCTTTTTAGACCAAAATATTGCTGAATCTAAAACAAACAAAGGAACAAATTAAGTGAACTTTGCATCCAAATTGCAGTTGCCCAAGTTGAAAGTCTACAATATAATTTAGACCAACTAAACCTGGAGYTTCCTTCTCATTGATTTCTTGTTGAATATCGAATAAAGTTTTGACTTGGTGGTAGACTAAGACTTTTTCCCACTTTTCAAAGAGAAGATCATTATCCATATCCCATATGGATCACAGGGAACATAGTGACTGAACTGTTGACTTAGTGCTCTTAGCTTTAAGTGCTTTAACTAGTACAGAACTGTCCATTGCAGAGTCTAATGAAAGCACACTTCCTTAAGCTTGTTTCCTCCAACACTGCCAGCACTATGTGCTTTATATACCAAAACAAAGTATTGAAACTAGATAGGCTTTTCTTGCCTTTGTATATGGAACATAATGCTTGCGTGTTTATATGTCATTGAAACTTTGAGGAGTTAGTGATGTGAAACATGCTTAGAAGAAGAGTTCTACATAGCATAGAATGAGAATGGCACATCCTGTATTTTACAATCTCCACATTTTTATATTAACTATAATTTTCCATACACGTGACTGTTAATATGCTATATGGGAAATAAGTTGCTAGTTTGCAATTTCACTGTGACCAAGTTTCTGAGGTGAGTTTGGAGGGGGGGAAAAAAAAAGAAGAAAGAAGTGAGATTGACTGTTGTTCCACAGCAGAGAAGAAACCAGGGGAGCCATTTCTGTTTTGGAGATAATTTAAAAAACATTGTTCCTCTTCAGCGGGTCGTTAGCTTTAGTTTGGTGTGTATGAGCAGTAGAGGAAAGGTGAATAATAACATCTGAATTACTAAATTAATATTCAATATTGAAAAAAAACTGTGGAAAGTCATTGCTGCTTTGTTCTCTTTTACAGGTGCAGAATGAGTTTATTTTAGCAACTGAGCGAGACTCATTTGTAGAACAGGTACGAGAGATAATTGAAAAGGCAGATGAAATGCTGAGTGAGGATGTAAGTGTGGAGCCAGAAGGTGATCAGGGTTTGGAGAGTATGCGGACAAAAGATGATGGCTACTTTCCAGGGTCACAGGTATGGAAAACAAACAAACAAAAACCCTTCAAAACAGATTGTTTTAGCTATATCTGTATTTTCCATTTTGGGCGGTACGGTTTTGTGAGTAGACATAGCTAGAAGATGGTGCTTTCTTTCACATAAAGAATGAGAYGGAGGGAAAAAGAAACAAACAAAAAAAATCCCAATTAAAAAAACCCCACTCAACCAGAGAAGGCTTCAGATCAGAATGAAAACCTAATGTTTATTTAGGAAGCTAAGTAATAGAGACCCATGCTTTTTGACATATTCTGACACTTCCTAAGCTGCTGAAGCTCCTAATAGTGTGCTAGGTAGGCAGCCTGAAAGCTGAAGTGCTGGAGCTTCTTGGGTTGGAGCTTTCTAGGGGGAAGCAGGACACAAAAACTGCCAGCTCTGTGCTGCTTACTAAAACCTGAGAGACTGAGCTCAGACCCTTTCCACAGTGAAGCTACTAAGAGTTTGGTTGGCTAGAACAGGACATGCAGACTTTGATTGCTGGGAGTAGGGAGAGGTGACGTTTCTGGAGTCTCTGTATTATTTCCCCTCAGAACCACTCTGAAACATCAATTTGTTTGTTGGATATTTGAGAAGATCAGTTGCACTGCCAGTTAGAAAAGGATGTTTGAATCAATTTGAGGATTGCTAAACTGAGAAGCTACCAAAGCACAGTACTTAATAAAAGCACTGTACCTGTCATTTAGCTGGGCAGAACTCCAGTAGTTTGATAATGGTACTTGGGTCTGTGGTACTGCCTGCCCTAGATACCCACATTTCAGTAGGCTAGCATTTTAGGAACTATCTTATGGGGTTGTGTTTCAGAATAGAACTTTAAATTTTATCTTACTTTACAGAAATTAGAGTTCAAACAGCCAGATCCTACATCTTCCATGCCACAAAGAACAGGTAAGTCTCTTGTGATTTTTTTTTTCCCCACCAGTTACTTTTCTCAGCGGATGGGTGCAGCCACGTTTTTATTTTATATGTTGGAGTGCACATTCCATATTGCGGATTGTGTATATTGTTACAACCATGTATCATGAAATATCCACCTTCTTTCCATTTAGGAGTTCCTCCCAGCTCCTTTACCCAGGTCGTCCATTCTGCAGGAAGACGGTTTATTGTCAGCCCTGTCCCTGAGAGTCGGTTAAAAGAGCAGAGCTTTTTCAGCTCCGCTGTTCCTGGAGGAACAGAAACCCCAGATGTGGGTAAGTTTGAAGAGCTAAAGCTCTTAAAATTGGAGGAGTAATCCATGCTCATCCAAAGTGTAATGATAATTACCTAAATTGGCAAGTTCCTGAATACTTGAAGTGCTCTGGAGGTAAGGACCTGGCTATGCTTTCAAGTTGTGATTATAGTTTGGGTGATATTATGTAGAAGTCTCCAAAGAAGAAGTCACTGGGCTTTCTCCAAGACTCTTGAGCTTCAATTCTAGATTTTTAGGATGTGCCCGAATTTTAACTTTTTCGTCATTTCCTACAGGTGTTAATCTGGCAATAGGAAATATACTGTAATGAACTTGCCCAGGAGTGTTTATATTTACCCAGGACTGACACTTTTCTGTTCTTTCAGTTGCTGCATCTCCCTTACACGGTCCCGGAATGAATCTCTCCCACTCGGCGTCGTCGCTGAGCTTGCAGCAGGCTTTCTCTGAGATCAGGCACGCGCAAATGACAGAAGGACCTAGTACCGCTCCCCCCGTGTTCAATCAGGCTGTCCCACCATTCCCACCTGCACTTTCCACCATGGCAGGCAGTGGTGCTCCCTCTGCATCCGTAGCTGCTCCTTCAGTATCTGTTCCTTCCACTACAGGCGTTTCTGTTCCAGGGTCTGTTACTTTGCCTTCAGAAAACGCAGCTGGTGGAGCTGCACCAAGCACAAGTGTCCCGAGCTCTGTTTCTCCACCTGCGGCCTCACAATCTGGACAGCAGTCAACTGCTGGAGTGGCTTCCAGCGTGAGCGCCCCTGCTTCCTTCCCCCAACCCACCACATCCCAGCCTGCTCAGCCACTGCCTGGAGACATTGCCCCTAGTACCAGCACGCCGGCCTCTCTGGCACTGTCATCCACCCAGATTCCCGGTGTCCCTGGTCCTGGTGTCATGGCACCAGCTGTGACTTCTCAATCCACTCCTCAGCTTGTAAGTAGTTTGGCAGCGCCGCAGACATCTGTTACCCTGTCTCTGCCTCAGAATGTGACTTTGCAGCTTCCTCAACTTAGTAGTAGTGGCTCTGTCTCCAGCCTGGCAGAAACAACAGTTGTGAGTGCTCCACAGCCCCTCTCTGACAGTGGGCAACCTGTGGATAAATCACAGCTCGGCAGCGCGGCTGGATTGTCTCTTCCAATCTCTGCACCTTTATCATCTTCAGCAGCAACAAGCATATGTGGATCAGCCAGCCAGCCAGTGATACATCCTTTAATCATCGCATCAGCAGTTACATCAACACCTGTCCTACCCYCAATTCCAGGTGCAATGTCCACGCCTGTGTTGCCCCAGGTGCCCTTGCCTGGTGTCTTACCACAGCCCGTTACCAACCTGCCTGCAGTGCAGCAGACACTGATACACAGTCAGCCTCAGCCCGCTCCGTTACCCAACCAGCCTCACACTCACTGTCTCGAGGCTGATGCTGATGCTCAGTCGAAAGCACCCGGTATTGATGATATAAAGACCCTGGAAGAAAAGCTGCGCTCCCTCTTCAGCGAACACAGCAATGTTGGAACAGCACATCCGTCGGTGTCGCTGGAGACATCACTGGTCATGGAAACGACGGTCATTCCTGGCGTACCAACCACTGTGGTGGCTCCAACCAAACCCCTGACATCCATTAGCACTTGTATCCCACCGAGCAGTTTGCCCCTGGGGGCCACGGGTTTGCCCGTGYTGACACCAGTGGCCACTCCTGGGCAAGTGATCACCCCGGTCAGCTATATTTCAGCACCGAGCAGCATTGCAACGGCAGCAGTGAAACCAGGGACCTCTCCTTCCAAGCCGCCTCTAAGTAGGGTACCGGTAAGGAATGAAGCTTTTGTGTCACTATTTAAATACTGTGGAAAATGGCTCTGTTGATCAGAAACCCCTTTGAAAGCGAAACATTTATTCAGGCAGGAGCGCTTTGCTTGGTACAATATTTGAATGAAAGCTTTATCCTCTGCCTGACTTAGCTTGAGAAGAATTTATTCTGTTCATATTGAAAAAAAATGTTGAGTTCTATATTGTGTCTCTCTAACATCCATGTTAGTATTTTCTTCTCCTACATTGTGAGGTGTGAAGCTTGTTTATTTTTCAAATAGAAGCTTGAAAATCTTGCTCTAAACAGCTTTTTCCTTTATATGTATGATCACTAAGCTGAGCCAAGGGTGGTTGTGTGTGGTTTCCCAAAGTAGGTGTGACAATTTAGCTTTGCTTCTTATCATTGGTCTGGTGTTCCTTGAAGGCAGGGGCAGGTCTGACTCTTCCTGAAAGTCCTCAGCTGTTCAAGCAGTGCCTGGTTACTGTTTTCCTTGAGATGAGTTTGAGAGGTCTGAATACCCGGAAGCTTAAACCCAGTTTTTGTTGTTGTTGTTTGCTGAATCACACTCTCAAACAAATGCTCTTTCATAACAGGGTGCATATCACATAGCTGTGATATGCAGCAACAACTGAGGCATTTTGTAGAAGTTGGTATTAACTTGCTATCCAGGAATGTCAGGGTGTGAAAATAGAATAGCCTTTTCTTATAGCGTTTTTTTAGGAGACTGGCATTTCTGCATATGAATTTTCTTCTGACCTGTTGAAAGTGCTAAGTATAAATGAATTGAAGAGACTTTTAAAGTCCTTAGCAAACCAAACACCTTAGAACTCACTTCCCATTACTTTTGTAGTATCTTTTCCCAATGTGTTGTGCTGGTCTCTCCAGCCAACCTTTTTGTTAACTATTTTCAAGTTATTCTAATTAATGCTCTAGTATCTTTATTCATGAATAGTCTTATTCCCTTGCATTTTATTGATGCAGGTTCCCCATACTTCCCCCATGGTTGTGTATGCAGTAGTGCTAGTAGATTTTCCCCCTATTATATTTGAGCCAGTACTTCTTTTAGGACATAGAGGTGAATGGAATTTACTCAGACTCTATGTTTTGAGTTTTGATTTTTGTAGACAATTGTTCTCCCTTTCTGTGTTTCTCTGTTTTGATGGATCTCCTCTAGGAAGCCCAGCCAAGTCTCTGGAGGCATCCTGCCCAGAGTGAAAATCCTGGCTGCTGTATTTTTTTTACTGGAGGGAGAATCACTAACACATTTTCCCATAGGGAAATGTTGTTGTATGCTCTAATGTGGAGAGCAGGGCAACAAAAAAATAAATTTCAGGTTTCTGGCTTTATCTTTATAAGCCAGAATTTTAATTTTAAATAAATGAAATGTCCCAAGGTTGAGTTAGGAAGCAGAGCTCTTCATCTGTGTCCCTTGCCGACCAGACTCAGGTGATTCCTTTCCCAACCCTTTTTGCAAGAGTGAAGTTACAGGTGGGAAATCAATCAGGTACCATTCCCGTGTGGTGACAGATATGTTTGTCTGAGACAACTCCAGAGATGATGTTACCAAAGAATTGGAGAAATATTTTCATCAATTTCGTAAGCAGTGAGAAGGTTGCTACAAATTGGAATAGTGTGTGATTACACCAATACATATAATTTGTAAGATATGAGGAAGAGTAGCAGCTGCCATAGCAGGAACCTCTGAGATTTCAGCCTTTGCTGAAAAGTAGGAACTAGAGCTGGAGGGGTGAAAGGGACCAGTGGATGGATGGATGGAGCAGAGAGTATGGATATTTTTGTCCAGTTTTCTTCCTTCTATTCCACTGCAGTTGTTGTAAATGATCTCCCTTTGTGCAACTAAAGTAAATCATGTAAATATAAAACTTTTCTTGAAAGTTGAACATATGCTTTGCTGAGAGACACTCTGCAGTCCGCTTTCCTATCAACAAAATAATGGAGTTGCCCAATGTGGCATTTGTTTCCCTTTTAGATTGAGTTCAAGCTCCAGGTGGGAAATCTCTGCCATGGAGCAGAGAGGGAACACATCCCAAGGATGCAGGGAAAAACCCAGACATGGAGGAATTAATTTATGTTGAAATTAAGTTTGGGGGGGGGGGGGGAAGATTTAAAAATAAGTAAAAAGTAGTCCTGGTGTGGAAACTATTGGAGTTGTTAGAAACCTGTTAACTAGAAATCCATGATCAAAAATGTTTGGGTTTAAATTTATTTGCTATTTGGGGACTTTGGTCTATGTTATGGGAAAACTATCTTTTCTCTGAAGTCTTTGCTTAGAAATTCTTGCGTGTTTTTCTTAAGTTTAAGTACATTTTCTATGGTTGTTTTTCAGCTTTAAGGAGCTTAACCCTTGGGTTTTGTTGGGGAGAGAAGGGGATTTTTTCATTTTTTTTTATAATGACCAGTCTGTAAACTTAGAGAGTAAATGTTTTTTGACTTGTTATGCATTTATTTAAGCAGCTTTTGCCTCTTATTAATAAGTTATGTTATGAACTTACCACAGCTTATCAAGTGAGTGTGTGCCAGGAGAGCAGGTAACATTCACATGTATGTTCCTGGTGCACCACAGAGCTGAGCTGACGCAGCTGGACWTGGTCCCTGATGAAACGTTATTGGGAGGGTAGGTGGTCATGGAGGAGGTATTCCCTGGACACTCATTACTGTGCTTTGAACCATTAAGTGGTGACAGCAGGGCTACAGGCTAGAGCAGGTTCTGCTTGGTGAGGACTCAAGAAGACACTGAGCCAGTTACAGTATCTGACAGGGTTTGCTGTGATAAAGGGGAAGTCATTAGACCAACATCAGCTCACAAAGTCGTCACCCAGTTCCTGAAGTCGTAGAATTCTTTTTCAAGCCTCTAGGTTACACCTGAGGAAAGAATTGCAAGTTGTGCAAGAGGCTAAGKGGTAAGGGGCTTAATTCCTAGACCTTCCCATTTCCATAACAATTGAAACAACTAACTGGAATGTGCTCTCTGACTTTGCTGTGAGGCTACCATGCCTCAYTGTAACCTTTCCAGTCATCTCCCTAACCTCTTCAACATTCCTGGATGACTCCCCCTATCCAGTTGCATGGCACAGTCATCTTTCATGGTGATCAGCAGCACCCTCCGGGTTCAAAAAGGGGATGAATCAAAGATTGATATAAAAGGGTAAAAAAAAGTTTGTCAACAAATGGAGACTTCCTTATGACGGTTTCTGCTGTCAAGTTGTACTACAGGGAACAATTTGCCAGAAACGTGCCGAGTGTGGGTGTAGGTCTGTTAAAAGGAGGCTGAGCAGGGCTGCGTTCCTGCAGGTACTTTTATCAAGTACCTGTCTTGGAAGTACGAGGGCTTTTCTGAGGCATTGTTGTAGTAGGGCTTCTTGCAGTCTTGAAATGAAATGCCCGAGATGATTTGCTTCAGAACAGAGCAGCTTCTTTGAACAGGATTATGGCCCTTTTTTTTTTTTTTTTTTTTTTTAAAGTTAACTGTCTTTACAAAAATCCCTAAAGAGCCCATGCTAACTTTCAAAGAGAAAATCTCCTGAGGCTTCTCTGGTATGACATGACTTAGAGTAACTTGGTATCTGATCCTCCTGTTGTTCCATGTCTGATGGACTCGCGTTTCCTCTTCATTATCCTTAGGTGCTACCAGTAGGGTCTGAACTTCCAGCTGGCACTCCGTCCAGTGAGCCGCTGCCACCTTTTCCAGGACCTTCACTAACTCAGGTGCTCCACAACTCGGCAGATCTTATCTGCTTCTCTTCCTTTTCCTTTCAAAGAGCATGTTTCGATTAAACTCTCCATTGCATGTTATTAATGTCTTTGGTTTTTCTGTTCTTTTGACTGAATAACCCCCTTTTTTTTGCAATTGTAGCAGTGACCAAAGTCACTTCAGAACTGGAGATGTAGCTTCCCCTTTGGGTCACTGTACCTGGTTCCTAAAGTACAGGAACAATAAATCAGGCCTCTTTTTTTTTTTTCCTTTTTCTGAATTAACTTGAAATTAAGAGTTTTTTTAAAAAAGGTAACACAGGTGAGTGTGTGTGTGTGTGTGTGTGTGTAAAACTTGGACCTGCTTTCTTCCTGCAGTTAAAAAATATAATAGCAAAATAATAGCTCCTTAGGAAAGTACTACATCCTGCAATTAAATGTTCATAAAATCACAAGGTTGCTAGCTCTGAGAATTCCAACTTTTTTTTTTTTTTTTTTTTGCAATTACTAGACTCACATTTTACAGTCTTTCCGCATTTGCTAAAGTACTTTTGCAGGGCACTTTGCAAAGATCAGATCAGAAGATCCGAAATTAAATCAGGAGTTGAAGTCTAACAGTGGCTTAAACTTGCTCAGTTTCTATTCCTATATGCAATAGTTTAGTAGTGCTTTATATGAAAATTGAAAAGGGGGGGGAAATGTAACAAAAAACTGTAATTTAGAACTGTGTTATTTTTATGTCTTTTAAATGTTATGCAGTGAACTGTAACATGGGGATGCTATACTTCAATATGCAAAGAAAAGTTGAAAAAAATAACCAAACAAAAGCCCTGAGAACCTGAGATAGGGATCTGCTCTTTCTGAAAGAAAGGAGTCATTTGGCAAATAAGTAGAAGGAAGGCTATTGACAGAAATGAAGTCAAGCACGTTTTACACAGAAACATTATGCCAATTTTTATATTCAGACCTGTAAAGAAGTTACATTTCAAGTGGATATCTATKGATGCTTAAGGCTTAGAATGATTTTAAATGAATGTCTTAAATCTAGTGCTTTCTGTGTACATGCAACTTTACAAAGTGTTGACCTATTCCATCTGTGTTTAAGGACACAGTGAGTAGTCTTAGAAAGGAATTACTACCATGTCCTAACTATAATTTTAAAGTTAATTCCAATAAAATAGCAACAATATGAAAATGTATGCCATATGTATTATCAGAGTGACCTGATTGATTGATTTGTTTTTTTTTCTTTATCACCAAGTATTTTAATGGTCACTTAATAACCTTGACAAAGTTCTATTTTCTAACATCCTAATAATGGTCTACTAAGTTATCTCTTAAACTGTAGATCCTGAATTCAAGTTTCACCTATAGAAGTGAATTTAAAAAGATGATTTAGAAGTCWCTTAAGTTTAGCAGACTTCATTTTTTGCTATTTACAATGACATGACAGGGCAACTTTCCTATGTGAAAGCTTTAAAATTGACTGTAATGCAAAGGAATAATTTTACAAGATGGTAGATAATTCCARCTGCTGAGGCAGCTTGGTTTAAGCTGTCCTGGGTCACATTATGCTGCAGCTAAAACTGTAGAAACTCAGCTGCATGTAATAGGGTGATAATCCCCAAAGATACCACCTGAATGGGAGTTCCATCCTCTCTCTGAAYTGTGAGGAACAGCATGCCCTGGTGCCAGAGATGCAGGCAGAACTGAGCAGCAGGCAATGGATAGCTGCTTTCTTGTGGGTTTCATGGTGGTTATGACAAGAACAGTCACTTTTTAAGCTTTCTAGTATATTTTTTCTCTCAGTTGCAGTAAGCAGAAGCTCTCTATAGAAGCTCTGGTTTACGCAGCACTTGCTCTGGTTTTCCTAGTAAATATCATGAAAAGAGATTCTAAAATATCACAAAATAGACAAATTTGCATAAAGTATGTCCTAGATGTAAGAAGAGGAGCACTCCAGTAGTCCTAAACTATAATGTGCTGCATGTTGACCTCACCCTGCATGTTCCTGCTGCCCAGGAACCGCYTTCCTGGTGCTCACCTGGGGATGCAGATGCAATCAGTGCTGATGGCCACCATGAACCAGAGGTCTTGCAGGTGGCCTCTATACCCCCTCCCCAATTTTTTCTTCCTTTTAATGGAAACTTGTTTGAATGTTTGGAGAGTAAGGAACAGTCTGTCACTTGCAGAAAATATTATTTAACGCTAAAAGGCAGGGATTTATGCTTTTTATGTAAGAAAGAAGTCAAATGTGAATGTATTGCTTTTGGAACTGTCACGGAAAGGAGAATGCAGCTGTATGTCRTTGCATGTAGCAGTTTAAATAAGTCATACAGTCTTCTGCGAGTAACTGGGCACTGGGTCTCTGCTGCCTCTAAGCTGTGCAGAAGGTCTCTGCTGACTCTTAACTGTGCAGAAAAGCCAGGTCTTTTCCTAGCAATATTCTGTTAAAGGCAAAACAGTTTAGTGGTTATCCTTAATTACGTTCTCACCACGCACAGTTATAGCAAAGAGATCTGGAAGCAACTGGGTAAAGCCAGTCCCTTAAGTTTATGACACTTTTTTTGGTTACTGTTTTGAATGTGGTATCTTAGTATTTTTTTTTTTTTCCAGAACTCACAGGTTTTGTAGCCACATGGAWAACTTGAGCACACTACCACTGCAGAAAGCATCTTGCTGTTTATTACAGCTCCTCCTAGAAGGATCTGTCAYAGGGAAGATGCTTGTCCTCTGCAAACAGCTTTCACCTCTCATGTGAATTTGGGAGGCTGTAATCTGGGAGTGTGAGACAAAATAGGAAGAGATAAACTCGATGAAATCTAATCCACTCTTAAGAGCATTTGCCCCTACCACATAAATACTGTCTGGAAAATTRTTGATTTGTCTTAAAAATAGACAAGCTTGTCTTCATTATTATTCCTGTCCATAGATGACTACAAACGTTTCTCCTAATTTGCAGATAAAATGCAGAGTATCTCAGACCCGTTTACGTCACACGGTTCCTCAGTCTTAAATAGTTGTCCTCTGTCTACTCCATAATTTGTCTTTAAAGCCTATTTAGATTATTACATTATTTTCCATGCTTCTTTTTTGCTACCCTTATTCCATTAGAGAAATGTTATACTCACATCATTCTATATCAGATCCTTCATTTGGTTATTTGGATTACATCTCTTTTGGTGAGCATGAGTGATGAAAACTTGTACGGTATTCCAAAGGAAATCTTTTTAATATACATTGTATGATTTTACATTATATGAATTAACTTAGTCCACTTACCTGGTAGAGATTTTGATTCCTGGGCAGARTCCTGCAGAAGTCTGTATTTTATTTACTCTATGGGATCAAAAATCGAATTTAATGTCATATACCAGTGCTTGTTTTCCTTCATACTTTCATTATGAATTTGGGCCTAATTCACTTTTTTAATGCATCCAAGCTTTTATTATATTTAAGATAATTTTAGATATCCCTCTTCCCACATTCTCCATTTTCCCTTCCTCCCGTAGCAATTTGGCCACACTTGAGACTTTTTAAATGATGGCTCAAGTTGGAATGATAATCTAGGAGACCATCATTTGTTTGAATAATGACTCGAGCAGCTGAAAATTAAGTAACAAATCTAATTGAGAGAGGCTCTGCCGCTATTTCCATCTTCCTCTTAAAGTCATTCCATGTAGATAGGCCTCTGAAGCAGCTTTCTACATTAAATTAAGAAAAAAAGAAAGATTGAAAAAACCCTCCATTAGCTGCAGTTTAAACATGTTGGTTTTTGAAATAATGTGTTTGAAAACTTCTAAGAGCTTGTTTGCTTAGTGTTATTTTTAATTTCTTCTTTGAAGAGTTTGCATAAACCATAATATAAGCTGCCATCTCCTTATGGATCAGGAGCTGTAGAACTTGTCATGTGTTTACACAGTTCCCCAGAGCAGGAATGCAAACATCTAACTTCAGGAATAATAGAAATATCAGTTAATGCTTCTCTTCTGTTTTGAATAAGTGTGTTACTTAAATTGCTTCTAGTCTTGTTTTGATTTAAGCTAATCATGCAGGAACTAAAAGCGATAAAAATATTGAAGCTGTASTGGCTGCTTGAGGTTTTAATGCTAAATGTGGCTGAATTCTCTGAAATGCAGCGTGTGTTTCTCTTGGGCTAGAACAGCTGTTGACTCTCTCCTTTTTCATCAGTCCCAGCAGCCACTGGAAGATCTGGACGCCAAGCTGAGAAGAACCCTTAGTCCGGAGACTGTCCCGGTGACATCTGCTCCTGCCTGTGTAAGTGGGCAAGGGTGGCAATTCGTAGTCTGGAATTAACTGCCATGTTTTCTAGAGTTTGTGCTCTAAGGTTACTGTCTTCAATATTACTGTGCTGGTCTTTAAAGACACTCAATATATTGCTTTTGGGCTCAACTGTGCAAATGGAGACTGAAGTGTGACCTGTTGCTCTGTGGGACTGAGGCAACCAGATGTGATGCCATTCTGGGAAAAACCCATAGGTTGCAATACGAYCTATCTTCCCCAAGACTGATATTGGTATTAAGTCTTAATTCAGCTTTTCAGGTGAAGCCGTATCAAACTAGAAGGGGGACTAACTAAGGGGGAAAAAGAAACGAGCAGTATGTCGGTCTTAATTTGGGAGAGATGTTAAAATGTAAATCTGAACTTTCAAAAAGATTATAATAAAAGTTCTATAGAAAACAGGATAATGGTAATGAACATTGATCTACAAGTGACTACTTAGGTCCTAAGGAAAAATTTTTGTATTATGCAATGTATTAGATGCAATTTAATCATACTAATCTTGTTTTTTCTTTTTTTCCTTGAACTTAGTCTGCGCCCTCAGTAGCATCCACGACGGTTACCGGGCTGGTGTCCACAGCAGCACAGTCCCCGAAAGATGGTAAACTGCTTTTCTGTTTCYGATGGTCCCTCAGCATGGAGCTATCGCACCAAATTGTATGGACTAGCATGCTGGAAGGAGAGGAAATTTTTAAAGAGTCAGAAAATGTCCTTTTTTAAAAGAAGTAACATTTTTTTAAGATGTGAACTGGTTTTTAAGAACTAGATTGAAAATTTCCACTGCTGGCCCGGAGATGGGAGTGATATATACATGTTTTAATAATTCATCTAGGATTTAAAGCCATCCAAAATGCTGAATTATGACCTGCAAAGAATCTTTAGTACGCTGCTGTAGTACAGCTTCAGGATGTGAAGAAGCTCTTTTCTTCACATTTTTTATTATTATTTATTTGGCAACAGGAGTATGGCCTTTTATTTTGTGCCATTGTTCTGTATCCTGTTCATAGGCTTTCTCTTCCAAATCAAGGATGTTTCCTTCCTATGAGAGAGCAATTAAAATTAATAAAAGTAGTAGGAAAAAGACTGTGTTCTGGCTTCTCAAGAACAATGGAGGTTTGAGTGAATGATTAAGAAATGAAGTTCGAATGTTGAAAATTTTATTTTTTTTTCCAGAAACTGTCAGTTTTCTGACAGTTTCTGTCAGAAAATGGTTTCTAAGCTAGTTATTAAACAATGTTTGAGAATTTGCACRTGCCTGAAGTTCAGTGGCAAACTTCAAGAGGGAATAAAACCAATAGGAAAGTAGTGTAGTTGTGCTTTGGTGTGTTAGTGGTAAATTGTATCACAAACCTCATTGTCTTGTGAGAAAACGAGGTGCATTTTGCCTGGTGAAGTTTAGAGGATAAAAGTAAATGAACAGGGAGGCTGCTTAATAAACATACAAGTTGTCCAATAGAACTGGTTTAAAAATAGAATGCTATTTCTCAGCTTGGTAACATTATACCACCAGAGCCTATAGCAATGAAATTTGGAGCTGGCATCCAAGAATCCAGCTCTCAAGGCCTCAGGATGCTTTAAAAAAAAAAAAAAAAAAAAAAAAAAAAGTTAATACATCATCTTTTCTGTTAAAAAATTGTCTTTGGCATTTGTGAAATCCAGCTAATCACTGTGAGTATGGACTTAAAAAATGAAAACTCCTATTGCCTTTCATTCCAGCATAACTCTTTATGCTTTTTTTTTTTTTTTTGGTGCTTTGGCTACTGTACTTCACTAAAGAACATTAAGAACACTATAGAAAAATACTTAATTTTAATACTGCAGTTTTATTTTCTAAATGGTAAAGCTGAGAAAGAAGATCACATTCAGTGAATCTAAAAGCCTGCTAGGCAGTAACCAATAAGTTTGATATGGATAAAAAGAAAAGGTTAAAATTCAGCTAATTTGTTTCTAATTTTCTTCTGCATGCTGTTCTCCTCTTTTATAGCTTCRGCATCATGTGGTGGAGAGAGCAGTGCTATGGCCACCACAGCAGGAGCTGGTGTTCTTAAAATGGGACGTTTTCAGGTAGGAAATGTTAAACTGATCGGGTCGTTGATCCAGAATCCTTACTGCCTATTGCCAACTCAGTTTGTCTCTTGGTAGACATTTTTTAGCTGAGAGAAAATGTTTGTATTGAGCTTCCAATGCAGTGTTCTGCTCAGACACTGTCCCCTTTCAGGGCAGAGTTTGGGCTCGATTATGCAGGTGTAGCCTATGAAGAGAGCCCTTCATCATGCCAGGCCTTAGCTGTGTTACTGTTGGCCTTGGCCTCTGATGCTTTGGTTGGGTTAGTGCTGGGATATTCAGTTTGTGTCCTGCCTGTGAAGGAATGTTAGGTTTCTTGGAGTTAAATCATCCAGATTACCTAGAACTGCTGCCTTTGTGTGGTGGCTTGGTCCTTGGAGGGAGGAAGCAACTGTCCATGTGACATTGGAAAAAAGCTAATTATTTTCCCCTGTCAGGTCCTTCTTCCTTTTGGGAGGTAAATCCAAGCACCACGTATCAAAGAACTCAAAGTCTCTTGATTTGCGATTCTCTCCTAGGTCTCGGTGGCCGTAGATGATGTGCTAAAAGAGAGTGACAAACCTGAAACGAAGCCAGGGCAATTTGAAACCACCTCCTCTGAATCATCATCTCTTTCTGGCAGCAGCCCAGAGAGTACACTGGTAAAGCAGGCCGGCAGTCGGAAAAGTGAGGCTGTTGCTGGCTCATCCTTGGACGTGGTCGATGGTGTTCCTCACCCGCTTCCCGCGGTGCAGCTGCCCGTAGATGCTGGGCAGCCCACTAAGGTCGGGCGCTTCCAGGTGACGACGACGACGGATCAAGTGGGGCGCTTCTCAGTGTCCAAGACTCAGGATGAGGTCACCTGCGCAGAGAAGGAGCCAGTGACTCTTCCTCTCCCTGTGGACTTGGAACAAGTTGCAGCTTCGGCTGCAGCTCCTCAGAAGGAGCTGGAGGCCAGGCAGTCCCCGCACATGAACGGCCCATCCTTGGAGCTGGAGGCCGCCTTCCTGAGCGGCATGGCCAAGGAGATGGATGAGGGCTCAGGGAGCCCAGACTCCCTCCAGCACCTGGGCTCAAAGATCAGCCTCCCTGTCCAGAGCCTTAGCAACTCGTTCAACTCTTCTTACATGAGCAGTGATAACGAGTCGGATATTGAAGATGAGGACTTGAAATTGGAATTGCGTCGGTTACGGGAGAAGTAAGACTTGTTCCTGTTCTGTTTTTCCCCTTTCTTTCCTTTTTTAGCCTTTTTTTTTTAAAAAAGGCAGTCATGTGCAATATATGCAACAAAGGCTACMTAAACTTCTTTTCATCTAGACTATGCTTTTTATTTAAAAAAAACTGCTTCAAAAGATGAAATATTTTGCTAAGTGTCAGGACTGGTTGTCAGTGTTTGCATGGTAAGAAAGATACATTAGAGGTAGAGAAGTACGGAATTATTCCAGAAATCCATAGGCACATTTGCTAAGCTTCATTTTCTAATACATAGTCTTTCTGTGTGTGTTCATATACAGATTGGATGAGACTATGTAGGTTTATAGTTCTTGTGTATCATTGAAATTTAGTAGCTATTGGAAATACTGATGTCTTACTTTAAGTGACAACAGCCCTGCATTTCTAAGCTGCACTTCTGACATTTCCAAAATTTCTGTCCTCCTCAAGAATCCCTGTTATTTTAGGAAAAAAGCTTAAAAGTCAAGCAATGGAGCCTATTAACTTGTTTATGTTGGAAATATTTACTTTTTTTTTAATAGGAATAGGGAATTTCATATTGTGTGCATATAACAGTTCTGAAGATTCAATGGAATAGTAACATGAAAGTCTCCTAGGCCATGGCTCTCAGCAAATGAATGATTAGTTAGCCCTGCAGCACTTACATGAAGTCTGTTGAATGGTCAGATCTTCTGTAGTAGGTGTATGTTCCTCTTTGTACTTGTGCTTATCCCGCCTTTATAAGTACAATATTGGGAACTTCGTATTGGAATTCTGGCCACAATTAGACCGCAGTGGAGAATGTGTATGTGCAAGTGTTCTGCCATATGTGTTCAGTGGATATTTGGGGTCAAGATGCAATTCAGCCTGTCTTGTGTGTTAGCGGGAGCTTGACCACTAACAAAGTCCCGGGTTCTTTTTTGATGGAGGAGAGAGAGGATTGTGCGTGTGTGTGTGTGTGTATATATATATATATATATATATATATATATATAAATATATATATAAAAATATATATATATATAATTTTCAGTATGATTTAGACATACAATATTTTTAAAATAATTTTCTTCTGTGACTTTTTAGGCACCTTAAAGAGATCCAGGAGCTGCAGAGCCGCCAGAAGCAGGAGATTGAATCGCTCTACACGAAGCTGGGGAAGGTCCCCCCTGCAGTAATTATCCCCCCRGCTGCACCCCTTTCGGGAAGGAGGAGACGACCCACTAAGGGAAAGAGCAGCAAGTCCAGTCGTAGCAGCTCCCAGGGAAATAAGAGCCCGCAGCTATCGGGTAGGACTTTCTCCAAGTCTTTTGAGTGTCCCTGTGACTTTAAACGTAGAGAGCCTGGTGTTGGTTCTGTCTCGTGCTGAGCTCTTTAAGTTATTATCTTGTGAGAGAGATGTTTAAAAACTTTCAAATGGCTTTTGCTAGCTTGTAAACCAAAACGTCAGTGTATTGAAGTTGTGGATTTTATTTTGTAGGGACTAGTCACAGGGCTCTGATTAGGGGGACTGGGGAATATCCTTTCCGGAAAGAAAAGTATAAAATTAGAGCACAGGGAATAAAACTTTGCATTTTGGATAAGCTTTTCTCCTTCCCTCCTGGATCTGATTTTGCAGAATGGATCCGGTCTCTCTGCTTGAATTCTGAGATACTGTTTTCTCTCTCTACTGTAGTAGCACTTGAGCATAGTACTGCTAGTATTCTTATACTTCAGAAATAAAATATTTTTTTTAAAAAGCTGATAGATGTCAAAGTATGACTATTGGCTCAGTAGATTAATTCCTATGGAGTAGTGTTTGTATATCCTCTCTAAACTGAATGAGGAGGAAGTGTCAGTAGGAAAGGATCACTGGCATCATAGCTCAAGCAAGCGTTTTGGTTACCTGATAGCGACTTCGCTCCCCACTGCATGTTCAAGTCAGACTTTCCTCTGTTCCTTCTGCTGCCCATGGGGAGCAATGACAAAAACGTTGAAAATGATTGAGGAAAACTGAAGCATTGAAGGTCTCTCTTGGTGTTTCCYGTAGGCAATTTGTCAGCTCAGAGCGCGCCGTCGGTCCTGCCCCCGCAGCAGACTCTTCTCCCTCCCGGWAGCGGGCCGGAGACGGGCCAGAACCATTTGTTACAGCCCCTCAAACCTTCACCTTCCAGCGAGAACCTCTACTCTGCCTTCACCAGTGATGGTGCCCTCTCGGTACCAAGCCTTTCTGCACCAGGCCAAGGTAAGACTTGAGCTGGAAGCAGTGCCAAGCTTGGCACCAGGGTTCTTCTTGAGGAGCGCTCAACCTGATGATAATTGATTTTAACACGTATTGTGAACTCCACTGGGCACTTGAGCTGTGCTTGGAGATTAAAAAGAATGATTTTTTGCAACTAGATTTCTAGGTTCCTGCGTAAGTGAAGTGAGTGGAAGCTTTTGCTGGAGTGATGAATACCTAGTGTATGACCCCCTCTCTAATGAAAGCACTAAGGAGAACACACTCATAGCAGCAGTATTCTTCTGATCGGGAAGAAAAGCACTAACTAAGAGCTGAAATGAAAGGATGAAGAGACAGATGAGAATGGGAAGGCAAATGTGAAGTGAGATTTAAGGAAAGGGAGGAGCAGCYTTTGTATAAACAGATAATTGAAATGGAAGGAGATTTCAGAAGACACTGAAAGTCCTTAAGATGTCAAAACTGCTTTGGCTCTTTCTAACAGTGGAGATTTCTAGTAATCTGAGGTAAGAGAGTCATGGTCTGCAGTTGTGCATTCAAGAGTCATCTGGAAGGAAGAGGATGGAATGGTTAGAAAAAAGTGCTCACCTTGCTCAAGTCACGGATTACTTGTAATTTGTTAAGATATTATTAAATAATTTCTTGAAGACTCATTTATGATTTATTTTCAAGGGAAAGTTTTACTGCCAGTCATTGAGGGAATGATAGGTTATGATTCCTTTACTGCTTTTGAATGTAGCTGTTCCAGTTTTTATCCTTTAACAACATTTTGAAGCGTTTTTCTGTTGAATTCAATACCTCAATTCTATTAAGCGGTTTTGCTAGAACTAGAGAAATACAAACAGAAAATGGAAAAAGGCTTTTGGAAGGAAATTTTCCTAGAGATTCTTTTTTTTATGAACTGTTTCAAGTACATTGGAGCTACTTGTGCATCCATATACTTAGACTTGCCCAGTAGCTTTTCTCATTGGGCATTTCTGCCAGGATTTGGCCGTCCTATGGGCAGCAACCTTTCAGTTGGGTTATATGCCAGAGATGAGCACAGCAAACTTGTCCTGATGCCCCAACATACTGGAAGGAGTCTCTCTGCTCCGTATATAGTGTCTCCCTACTCCTTGGCCCACTCTGAGGCTTGTTCTTGTGTGCCATGTTGATGCATTTCACTCCTCCAACCTCGAGTTGCTAACATCCTGTAGTGGTGTTCTGTCTCTTCTCCTCTCCTCTCTCTGTTCTTCCCGTTTTGTTTTCCCACAGGCTGTGCGAAGTTTAACTGTGCGTCTGAGAGAGTGACCTTCAAGCCTGGTGGCAGGAGGACCCGATTTCTGAGTACGCCCTGCTTGGCTCTTTGTGTGTAACACCTTTACTCCTTCCTTGTCTGGTTTTTGTTCTGTCTTTCTTTTTTGTTGTTGGTTTTTTTTCTGCTGCTTGGATCTGACTGTTTCATGCAGCCCATTCTCATCTACCACTTTGTATTCCCTCCCCTCCCATTCCCATGGCTCGGCTGAGCTGCTCTTGGCTCTTGCACCTTTAGAAGTTTGGGTTCTCGTGTCAGGAACTCTCTGTTAATAAACTCAGAGCGACAGACACCAATTTCTGAAGCTTTGGGTGGAAACCTGTGTGGCTGGTTCAGCGAAATGGCAGGACCTGGGGAGAGGCTGCAAGATGTAGGTCCAGGGGCCTCTGCTTTTGGCCTGCCTAGTAATTAGGCTTCAGCGTGAGACTTGGAAGGGAACAACGAGGAAGGTTTGTGTTTCCCAAATTATTCTTTCACTGGGGTAGTGCTATTGTAACTGATAGGGAAAGTTTTACTTCTCCCAGCAGTAAAACTACTGTGCAAGCAGGGTGAGCTTTGTCGCGCTGTCAGCATGAGTGCTGACTGCAGTGCAGAGCATCCACGCCTCCTGGAGGCAGTTAAAGCTGACCTGGGTTTATTAGCAGGATAGTAAAAGATCAAAGTGCTGAGGGGTTTAAATACATCTGTAAAATGTTTTCAAGAAGACTCAAGAGATCTTAAGTTACTAATGGGCCCAGGTTTAGAAATTCCTCCTGAGACTAGGAGACAGGCAAAATAATCCACAAGTAGCAGCGAAGATGGGAAAAGAGATTTTTTTTTTTTCGGACATGCTGTCAACCCACACAAGTTGCCTTCCAGTCGCTCTGACCGTTCTTTGCCTTGCACTTGCATGAGGCCAGAGGAAAAGAGAGCCCCAAACCGACACGCTCGAGCTGGGGCGGCTGCTGCTGCTGCTGCTGCTGCTGCTGCGCTGCTTGGCATCGGGCGCTGCCGCTGCCCCGGGCTGCCTCTGCCGGCTGCACCCCGCGGATGTCCGACCCTTGTGCCCACCCCTGGAATGCTGCGGGCTTTAGGAAGCTCCGGGTGCTCTCCGGAGGCGCTGCTGGGAAGCCCTGGCGGCGCGGGCTGCCTTTCGGCCGAGGCAGCGACTCGCCCCRGCCTCCCGCAGAGACAGCGGCGACGCGGCCGCCTCCGTCCCGCCCGCGGGGGCTGCTCCTGGCGCTGAGGAATTGCAGGGATACCTGCCCTCGCTGGACTGGGGGGTTAAATCCTAATGGGTGTGTAATTCTCCTCCGGGCCTGCAAAGCGAGTGTCCTTAACTGGTTTTAGCTGGAAGTTTCATGTGCGCTAATTGCCGTTTGCGATGCAAAGATTTATGGCATCTTTCTGGGAAGAAGTTAAATTCTTACCAAAGCCAACTTTTAAAAATTCTCTAGCCCGGCCTGTGCCTTTTTGGGGTGGGAGTGTAAAGAACAGTCCTTCCATTTCTGGAACTGGCAATGGGCTGAAGAGCATGAGAGTGCATCATGCACTTATAAGGCCTGGCCTGGCTGCAAATTGCACATCATCGGGTTATAAAAGGAATCCTCTGGCATGCGTATGGCCTGCTCATGGGATGGCCGCTGAGTGGCAGGGATTCCTTTTGGGAAGCGTCTTGTAGCTGTCCTGGGAATGCCGGTGGCTGTGGCAGAGGCCGGGCCCGGCGCGGGCCGCCCGCTTCCCGGAGCCCCGGCCCCTCGCGGGCAGCGCCGGCCGGAGCCGACGCACACGGGGAGGCGGCAGCGGGAAGCGGAGCAGAGACCKACGCGTTTAACCGGGCGGCGGGAGAAACAGAGCGGCACCGCGCGCCGGGAACAGGCCCGGCCGCTCCTCTGCTCCGGGAGAGCTGGGAACAAGCGGCAGCAAGCYGCAAAAGCCTGTCAAAATCGCCCCCTTTTGTGAAATATTCCTACGTTTGGGGCTGTTAGAGCCCTTTCCACTTCYGGACAGAAGCAGCAGATGTCCCTGCTTCTTCCTTTCGGGGTAGCCATAACATTTGCTGGCATTCTTCCCTACAGTTTGGGAATTTCGAAGAATAAATGCAGCAAATGGTGGGAAGGGGAGGGCGTCTTTTTCTGAAAGTCCACCAGATTAACCAATCCTGGCAATTTTGGGCTTTGTTTCCTGGAGTGTCCCTGCAGCAGCTTGCAAGAGCGCTGCTGCGAGCCGAGCAGAGCCCCGCGCGGCCCTCTCCTCTGTTTCTCACCGAGCTTGTCGTGCCGTTTGCTGATACTAAACGTTTCTCACTGTTTCTCTTACCTTTTAACAAATGACTCTCTCTTTGTGCTTCAGGGAAGATGGTGAAAAAAGTCTGTCCTTGCAACCAGCTCTGTAGTAATTATCTTATTTCTGTTATCTCCGGTTCCTGATCGTGAAGCTTCTCATCAGCTTTTTTTCTGGTCGCTGAAGCGCTGCCTCCCTGACTGTCTCCAGCACAGCATCTGTCTGTCTCTGTTTTGCCCTCTCATGTGTGCTCCTTCCTTAGCCTGTTCCATAGCCTGCCTCCTGCTCCTGCAGACAGTGGGGGCAAGGAGCAGCCCTTGGCTGCGGAGCCCTCTGCTCGCTGCTAACGGCCCGGGCACTCGGGGGCAGTCGCTGGCTGTAACGTGCTCCGATGGTGCCTCTGAGCAGCTGCTCTGTTCACAGATCTGCCTGGGTTTGCCAGCTCTGTCACGTACCCCGTTGCAGAGACTCCTTCAACATCTTAAAAGAGAAAAGAGTGAGCCGCCGGAGAGCTCAAAGGTGTCTCCCAAAGCAAGAAACGCTGAGAAATGCCTGCGTGTGGTTGCAATTTAAGATTGTTTTCTAGGTGCCTTTTATCTGTTGGCTTATGGTGGGGGGGAGATAAGAGGGCAGAAGGAAGGTCCTGCAGGTAGCAGGCTGCAGAGAGAAGCCTGTTTCGCGGCGCGCCCTTCGCGTGCGAGCAGAACATGACGTGGGGGACGGCTGCTGTGGCTGAGCAGGAATGCGGGCGCCGTGTCCATTGAACGCTGCAAGTTGAGGCACTTCCCCCTCACGCTCTTCGGGACGGCCCCCTCTGCTCTAATGCTGCAGCTGGGAGGCAAAATTCCCATGGAGACTTTTTGCAAACTCTCATTACCTGGAAGCTCCGGTAATTTTATAGCTCACCTTTAACAGCAGGGGCTCATCTGCCCTTGGCTGGCTGCCCGGGACCTGCCATGGGAGCTCCCGAACTAGTCACTTCTGTAGCCAACGTTCTCATTGCCTCCCAGCTCCCCAASCACTGAGCAAGCCCAGCCCTTTCCGAAACCACTCCAAAATGCTCTTGGATCCTCTTTTGAGCTGACCACACTCGGCTGTGCTTGAGTAATCCTCTCCCCTCCACAGCCCGAGGAAGCCKGGGATCCCAGGCTGTAAGCTGCACCCTTCCTGGGTAGGGGGAAGTGTGGAATATCAAAGCAGATATTGGCCATCGTGAAGAGCATGAGAGAGGGAGCGCCAGTCCCTGCATGAGCCCTCACAGTGGAGCGTGGTGATTCCTGCTATTGACCGCTCCTCTTGAGTACATCTGCCTGTTGCTTTTGCCTGGTTTTMTCCTAATTTCACCTGCCATATCATTGCTGTTTGCACTCAGTGTACTCCAAGCCCTTTGCACATTCCGCACGCTCCAGGTTCTCAGAACTTCCTGGCAGATTCTCCTCACGGCTCCTAGCGCACCCCTGTCACTCATCCCTGAGCTGCTGCTCCCGCCGCTCGGGGACCCTGATTCCCTCCTTCCCACGGGGCCAGTGCCAGCTGTGCCGGAGGGCAGCACGGAGCAGCAGGGAGGGCCCCTTCACCTTGGGCACCAGCACGACAAGGCAGCAGCGCTTGGCTTAGCTAGTTAGTTGGTCACCCCCTGCCTGGTTCACTGCTGAGCACGGAGCGTTCCTGCGGGATGGGAGCCCGTCCCTTGGGAGGCCGTGTGGACGGTGCCGTGAGCCGGGGCCGCCGGTTCGGGGGAATGAGCTGGTTGGGCAGGGGACAGCGAGGGGCTCCGGTCGCTCCCGGGCCCTCTGGGGCTCCCCTTGCAGCCGCTTTCCTCATGAGAGCCTGCCCAGCGCTTCCTAGACACCCAGCTGCAGCCCCGGGGGCCTGTGAAGGGAAGCGCGGGAGTGACTTTGGGAAGCAGGGAGCTGAGGASGGGCGCTTGGAAGCAGCGCTGCCTGCCTCCTGTTTGAGGGGGATGCTGCTGACCAGGTTTGGGAAATCCCCGTTTGCTCTGCCTTTACCACGTCCTTCCTAAGAGACTTAGGGGCTAAGGTTTGAGCACAGCTTGAGCATCGGTAAGCCAGGATACGCTGCCCTGCTGCCAGGGATTTAGGAAGCTCACTTGCTAGAACACAGCCAGCCTCCTGTAGTGCTGCCGCAGCGCAGGGCTCGCCTCCCAGGGCAGCTCTCGGTGCGAGGCGCRCAGCGGGGCTGCCGAGGACAGAGCTGCTCCTGGGTGCTCTCCACGGGAAGGTTTGCAGCGAGCTTTCCAGCAGAAGTGAGGCCTGGCGTCTGTGTGAGGGCACCGTGTGTCCCTGCGGTCAGCCCGGGGAACGGGATGGAACTTGCAGAGCGTGCTCAGGGAAGAGCTGCTCTCATTTCTGTCACCTTTTAAGCTGTTTTGGTTGTTTCCATCCAAAATGCTTGTTCTTCTGACATAGGAAATCTGAACATAACAGCCAAAAAATGCTTTTAGAGGCAAAAAGCGGAATTTAACGCAGTGCAGGCTTCCCCTGCCGATCCTGGCTGCCTGGAGGATGAAGGCAGGACCTCTGCTTATCCTCAGGAACAGAAATGTGGCAGCTACTGGAGACAACGGTTGCTGTTTCTCGCTGTGCTGCCTTGTGTGATCCAGGGGATTTTTTTCCTTCGTTCTGGAGCGGAGATAACTTCCTGTGGAGCAGCTGCCTGCGCTGCTCCTTGCTGAGCACCAGGGTTGTCCTCCAAGCTGGAGCTGGTTTGTGTTGCTGGTGGCTGCTCCTGATGAAGGGCCATAGGATGAGTGGCCTGGCCGTGCTGCCGTGGGGTGTTCAGATCTCATCTCCTCTGCCCTCCAYAACGAGCTGGGGGTTGCTGCTGTTCCCCTGTTAAGAGGACTGCGTGCAGCACTTCTTGAGAAGTAAACGTACCTACAAAATACCGTTTAATCTGGAAAAATGACACTAGGAATCCTTGTACTTCCCTGTTCAGCGCGTGCCAGAATTGGAACGTAGGATTAATGTGCATGGCATTTTAACTGGCTCTCTCTCCTTGTGCCATTACCGCAGTTATTAAGTTCGCTAGAGCAAGAGTCTTTGATTTCCAYGACCAGAGCGGTGATTCCCGTTCCTTGCGTTTCAGGGACCAGCAGCACCAACACCGTCGGGGCTGCCGTGAACAGCCAAGCTCCCCAGGCCCAGCCTCCCGCCATCGCCTCGAGCCGCAAGGGGACGTTCACGGACGACCTGCACAAGCTGGTAGACAACTGGGCCCGAGATGCCATGAACCTCTCTGGCAAGAAAGTTGGCAAAGGGCACAGCAACTACGAGGTAAGGCCGACGGCGCCCGCGCGCCGCTGCTGCCCTCGCTGTGCGCCAGGCTGCCACGTGCAGCGAGGGGAGAGTTTCTCTGTCGCCCGGGATGCTGCTCCGGAAGGATGCTGGCTCTGTCCTTCATGTCTGGGGTTTTGCCACCTGCTGTGGCAGGGAATGGGCTGCCCGGAGAGGAAGATGGGGCACACYGTGTCCGTGTGGTCCACGTGGTGTGGGCCAAGGGGGTTGCCTGTGGTGGTCAAGCACAGCTGAATAACTTCCTTTGGGTGCTGGGTTGTCTTTCAGGGCCCTGGAATGGCAAGAAAATTCTCGGCGCCAGGTCAACTCTGTATCTCTATGACATCCTCCCTGGGTGCTACGCCCATCTCTGCAGCATCAGCTACCTCTTTAGGTCCCTTCCCCAAGGCCATGTGCCCTCCGCAGCAGTACGGTTACCCCGCAGCGTCTTTCCCAGCCCCGTGGAGCGGGACGGGGGGCCCAGCACAGCAGCCCCTGGGCCAGTTCCAGCCCGTAGGTGCCGCCTCTTTGCAGAGCTTCAACATCGGCAACTTGCAGAAGTCGATCAGCAACCCCCCCGGCTCCAACCTGCGGACCACTTAGCCACGCTCGGAGCCCCTGCTGGCTACACCCTGGGGCAGGACACGGGGAGGGAGACGGGGCCGCTGTCAACGACTAGTGCTGCAGTGAACTGGGAGCTTGCCAGACTGGGAATTTCTCTTTTGCCACCGTTGCTGTCAGCTCTCTGTCAAGGGAGCTTCCCCACACACTTGCCAGGGGGAGGAGGATGATGAGGCATCCCTGTGATGGGACAGTGCTTTTGGCCGAGCGGTCCCGCTCTCGTGCGCAGGGGGAGCTGTGAAGATGAGTCATGGGGGCGGTTAACGCAGCCTCGCTGTAAAATTCCTCTGTGGGCCGAGGCTGAATCCACCTGTGTTGAGATRGGAGAGGTGAATCCTAGCATGAGGCTTTAGCACGCTCCCCATCTCTCCCTGAAGAACCAAGCCCAGGAGAAAAGCTGTCCAAATCCCCCTCCTCTCCSTCTCCCCCAAACAATCGTACCTGGCTCCAGAGTGATGGGGCACACGAATGGACTTGCAGTGCAGCCCGTGCTTGATAGGTCATTACTGCTTTAAGTAAGATATTAACAGCTTTGACTGCAGCATTAGAGCAATTTAAATTGTTTAAAAAATTTTAAAAGTTCCCTGCGGACATGTACTTACCATCAGTTTTGATGTGGAAACACTGTGATATATAAATGTTGTTGGACAACAGTAGTTTAAAAATGAGTGGAATATAGAGGGTTAAAAAAGTTAAAAAGAAAAAAATGGAAAAAAAGCTAGCTATATCCTTATACTTATTGGAGACACTTTAACTTTTTCCTTTGTATTTTCATTGTATTAGATAAATAAATGTGAATGTAAAATTGTATAAATTAATGTACTTGAATACTTGTCTGTTCTCCCAGTATGCTTGCTGGATATTTTAGTGCCTTGGACTTCTCTTGCTTCTGCAGCTAGCAGCATCTTCCCGGCGAGAGCCCCAGGMGGACAGAGGGCAAGGCGAGAGCAGGAGGGACGCGGCGCCCGGGAGCGAGCGCGCGCGCGGCGCCCCCGCGTCCCTGCGGAGCAGGGTCCTGCAGGAGGTGCGTGCGGGGGGAAGTCACGGAGGCGGCGGGAGGTGGGACGGAGTGCGGCGGCGGGTGAGCGGGCGCGCGGGTCTCCAGGGCCCCCGGGCGGAGGAGCAGGACCGGGGGCGCTCCTGAAGGGTCTCGCCTGAAGGGTGAAGAGCTCCGGAGCGGGAGCTCCCGGAGAGGCCTCGGGAGCGCGCGCCTCGCGGTGAGGCTTTGACTCCACCTGGGCCGCGGTGAAAATGTTGGGTCAGGATGTGGTTTGAGGGCGAGGTGTCGTTGCTCGTTGGTGTGGGCTTGTCTGCTGGGATCACCTCTTCTTGTTTGGTTTTGTTTTTCTTAATTCATTCAAGCCAGGACTAGGCTGTCCTGGCGCAACGTCCATTGCCGGCAATGGATGCACTTGAAACAGCCGGCATCGAGAATTTTCCTCTCTCTCGTTTGGAGGATTTATCATTTTGTTCACTTAAAAAGAATTTCAAACTGGTACCAGGACTGTAAGCAACTGTCACCTCTTCGCAACTGTACTGTACCTTCTGCTTTATTCAGTTTTCCCTTTTCATATTTAAGAATACTGGTTCCCTCTTCAAAGTAAAAMATAATGCCGACCAGTATTTCCGTCGTGCTGCGAAAAGCTGCGGAGGGTCCGGGTGCTGCTTCCCGGGGCTTGGCGGGAGCTCGGGCGAGGGGCTGGAGGCTGGAGCGGTGGATGTGCCGCCCGGGAGCACCACGAAGGGTGGGAGCTGCTGTGTCCCATCCCGGCACTCGCGCTCCGTCGGGACCGGTGTCCGGGTTGCTCCTCTTTTTGCTCCGCAGCAGCGTTGGCGGCCGGGCAGGCGCGAGCAAGCGGCGGGCGCGAGGCCTCGGGCAGGCGGCYGCGAGGCGGAGGAGGCTCTTGAGGTGCAGGACGAAGGGGCCGGGGCGCTCCCGCCTTGTGCAGAACCGGAGCGCGTTGGTCGGGACGGACGTGGATGCGGACGCGGATGCGGGAGGAGCCGCGGGGCTCCCCCAAGGCGGGCTCCGAGGCAAGGAGCAGCTGCAGCCCCAAGGCGGGAATGCGACGCGGGCAGGGTTTCCTGGCGGGGAACTAACCGGCTCGCTGCAGCACGGGGTTATTTAAGTTTGATCTAGCAGGTTTGAAGTCGTTTTTCACTTAATGTTATGCAAGAACTGGTTTTATTTACCATTGATTTTTTTTTTCTCTTCCCTCCTGTGGATGAATAACTGAAGTCTAGAGGAATAAACTAATGCTACTGAACTGTTAAATTATTTTGTTTAATATTACACTTTGAGTATCTTTTTTCCACATAAAATCTGTTTCTGAATTACAAGCGTTTTCTTTACATTATTTAACAATGTACACTGTAAAAAAAAAAAAATTAAAAAAATAAAATGAATTCAAACTTTGGGCTTCCCTGGCCGTAGTTAATTGTATGTTTTGCACTAAAACCAGGCATTGCGCTGCTTGTACGATTGCGCTTTGTGCTGCAATTTGTTACCTTTGTAGAATATTTAATGAAATCATTCAAATAAACCAAACCTGCTTTTGTTGAGCTGTGGGTTTTCTTGTTGAGCAGCAGGTTCCAGCCTCTCCTTCCTGTTCATGGAGTAGCCGTAACTGCCTGTTACCCCTTTGATCAGAGGAAAGCACAAGAAACCCATTTTAATGAGACCCTTAACTTCTCAAAAGCAGTTGGCAGGAATGAGTCTTGGACCTTTGGACACTCTGAAGGAGAACATCCAAGAGGAAAGGATGCTCTGAAGCAAGAAACTGTGAAGGACTGTTCATAGAAGGAATTTCCTTTATGAAAGGATGAACCTAAATGTGTAAGAGACAGCAGCGCCAGGTACCTTAGGATGTTGTAGTATGGGTGCTGGTGTGGCTGGTGCTTGCCAAGTTACCAAAGAGCAGTGAAATGCGCTTAAATGTGATGGTCAAAAAGTGGGCAGGTGTCCTGCATTGGAGCAGAGCCCTGTGTCTCCTTGCAGGAGGTCTCTGCTCCCTTTTGGCAACCAAGGGGGTGCCTCAAGGGCCTGGGAAAGCCTCCCTCCCATCCCCTGCCCACAGTCCGACSTCTCCTCCGCTGCTGTTACTCCTCTCTGGAGAGAGGGAGAGAAAAGGGGGTGCCCCAGGGCTGCTGGGCAGGAGAAACTCTTCTGCATCTAATGGATCTAATCTTAGATCCATTGGATCTAATACAAATTCCAAGCCCAAACATGTGGTGTACCTACCGGCCTGGTAGGTAAATAGGAAGAGTCAAACTACATGACAGGGTCGTTCTCAAACAGCTGTGGAGTSACAAGAACTACTTGGTATTTCTAAACACTAATTACTGCTGCATTTCTTTCCATTTTAAGCACAGCTTCTATTATGACTCATGCTGCTGAAGTCCTTAAAGGGGAAAAAAAAAAAAAAGCATGTGCTGCTTTTTTGCCTTTTTTCATTTGAAAAAGGGACATACCCTGAGGGGTATTTCAGTGAGGTCTTTTAGAGGAAGCTCAGCCACATTCGAGCTGTTTCTGGAGAGACCTGTTGTTTTGAGCACGTGAGACTCTTAATGTTTCTCTTGCAAGAGTTTGGCAGTGCTGCGTTGGTCTGTGCTGTCTGCACATTCCCTTCCTAACAGGCATCTTGCTTCATCTGTCACTTCACAACTTAAAGGTGTGAAAGGTGGGKTKTTTTTTTTCTTTTTTTTCTTCCCCATAGCTGGTCTGAATTTGCCACTGAGAGAGAAATGAGTTTGGTGAAATGTGAATTTCACCACTTATTTTCTAGGTGGCTTCTGACCATGTGATCTGTTACATATAACTTGTCCTGCCTTTACATAGTAAATATAATCCTTGCTTGTTTTTGTCCTGTTCGGGAAGTAGAGGAATAGTAGGAAATCTTTGAAAAACACCTGGTGAAGAGGTGAAAGGACAATGCAAGGTCTTTAGGAAAGCRGAAGAGCAACAGAAGTACGTTCTTAACACCTCCAGCATATTGACTTTAGATTGCTCGAAGAACCTTGGCCAGGTAGACAGAGATGTAAAAGCAGCAGACCAAGGTCCTGTTTCAAGTCTGACCCTACCCTCAGGGTTGGAAGAATCAGCGGTTGTCTAAATAACTCTTCAGGGTTCAGCTCCACGTGSATGTGGCACCCAGTCTCCCATCCTCACAAGAAGGGAGAGGGAAGACCAGACTTATCAGGATCTGGGATAGTTCTCAAATAATACCTAATATTTTTTTCACCTTTCCTTCCACTCTCTTGCTAAAGGAACAGCAGTTGCTTTGTTAAAAACTCCCTTTGAACCTTTTTCCTCCTTGCTGCCTGTGTTARAAGAAAGGCAGTGAGAGCCATTACCTTCCTCATTGTACCTACTCCAAGGGTGTTAATTTCTTGGAGCCTTTTAACCGGGAACTGAGGTGCARTGGTTTGAACAGCACTGAGTCATGAAGAGCTTCAACTGGGATTTGTTTTCCAAGTCTCGTCTTTATTTTAATATTAAAAAGGACCCAAAGCTTCTCTAAAACCTCAAGGAAGAACCGTGCGGCTCCCATGCCCTTGCTGTGGGGCCTGTGGGGCGCAGCCTCCCTTTCCCTGCTTTGCTGAGGAAAAATCTCTCCTTTGCTGAGGAGAAACGGTCTCCTCTCTGCTGGAAGGCAACGCTGAGGGAGAAAGAGGAGCGACCTGCACCTCGTGCCGAGGATGGACCCGGCTGTCCTTTCAGGCAAGTTAACTGTAACTTCCATGTGCAACACGGCCACCAAGCTAGAGCTGTAGAAGCACTGATGATGGCTCGTTTAYAGAAAAAGGAATTTGAAATATTTTAATGACCTCCAAGTCCATTAAGGTCTTCATAGTAGGTTGTATAATGCTCTTCTGTGTTGCATCATCATCATCGTATACAAGAAAATCCATTAATGTGYTATTACACACATAACTTGAACAGCCGACCACAGCGCCCTGGTACAGTTGAGAGTGTAGGCAGTGACACCACCAGATGTCTTAGGTAGGTTCTAGTCGCCGTTTCTTCAGGCTTTGACTTCTACGGGGGCTGCACGCTGCTAAACGGGGAGACAGTGAGAAATGGGAAGTTCTTAGAGCTGCTCTCTGCTGCAAAAAGTGCTCTTCAATGCGATTTATTTTTTTCCTCTAGCTCCCTCTTTGAAAGTAGCATTAGCTGGAGAAGAGATAGTTCTGCCGCAGCACTCTGCAGACAAGGTCCCCATTCCAGTTCGCTAATCTAACCAGGATCCTGTCAATGCCACGTGCCACCGTTGAGACACGAATCACGCCCCTGGCTCCCCTATTTTCTGCAGCACGTACCTGCCTCGGGCCAGCTGGCACCGTGGCTGTGGCTGGCAAGGCTCGCAGACGACTGCAGCTGGGCGAGCCTGGCGGGAGGCTGGTGCCCACTGGTTCTCTGGGGCGTCCTGCTGCGTGTCGTCATGTGGTGGGCGCCCAGGGGCGTTGCAGGTGCCTGGAGGCCAGCTGAGTGGCCGGCCACTTTGTGGGCCGCTGGCTTGAGGTCAGCACTCTCCAAGGAAATATCCCAAAGCTCGGGGTCGTCTAGAGCGAAGGGATAATCAAATTAAACATGAGACTATGTAGCACRATATTGATACGAGCTAACCTCAAGCAGTTCATATACTCTGGGGTCGTGAAGATGTTTCAAGGGCCTTTTTCTATAAACGCTCTTCTGATAATGGTGGCCAATCGAAAAGTTAAACTGTAGACATCATCTGTGCCAGTGCATAACAGGAAAATTATGCAAGAAAAAACAGTATTGTCCTAGATCATGAGAACTGGGGCAGATAGGCTGGATTCCCCCTTGTGCTCTGGGGTTAAGCCATGTCTCAGAGTTCCATGCTGCAAGTGTGACCTAAATAGCCATAGCTCCTTTAAAAAGATAACCCTCCCCTTAAATATTACTCCGTTCACCAAATAGGTGCAACAACTCTGTAGTAAAGAAGGTAGCAGGACAGCTTTCCTAGTGTTGGAAATCTGCTCCTCTCCTACACATTTTAATATTTTTCTGTCACTTAAGTAGAGTTAGTATTGCTGGGCTAACAATATTCATGTCTCTGTTATTTCTATCTCTTGCTAAACATTGCCTTCAGACTCTAAAGAGAGGATTTCAGTGCTAATGGACTTAGCATTTTGTTACCGTTCATCAGGTTTTGGCTGACCTGCAAAGAATTCTTCCTCTATTGCTAGTTCCTGGGGTGCTGTTGTTGGAGTGCTGTGCTTCACAGGAGGATCAGGTGTTGCTGGACAAAGATAACACAAGATTTTAATGTTGGAAAGACAGAAATGCTCCTTTCCCTCCTTTTTTAAAGACACCTTTGAACTGAGACAATAAGCAGCAACTGCCACTACATACCCTCTTCTCCTAAAGCTCCTTCTCATCCCTTGGCCACAGTACATGGAGTGGCAAGGTGGTGACTGGTAAGAGCAATTGCACTAATTTAAACTGTTTTTGGCCTGTTTATACCCCAGTCTCTCAGTTCCTGCCTACAACACAGCTGTCCACATATCCCATGAGTAAAAAGCAACCTATTAGTAGCTAATACTGTGATTAGTGGCTGCAGTTGCATTGGTGCAGAGCTGCAACCTCAGCTGGGCTACCTGGTGCTCTAGGGTGGCTGGAAAGTTACAGTTCAGTGATGCTTCTTTTGAGCCCATGTTTTTTCCACTAAARGGTCCAGCTCTTGTACTGAGGATAATACGTTCCTGCCAGTATCTATCATTACCACTGTTAATTTTTCATGCCAAGCTTACCCTGTTTGCTGTCTGGAGCTATGAGAACCTGCTGCTTTTTCTCCATCTGCTCCCGGAACTGCTGCTGCAGCCGCTTTTGCCGCAGTTTCCGCTGGTAAGTGGCATCACACTCAGCAGCCGAGGAGTCCATGGTCCTGCACCTCCCCAAATGAGCACCAAGGTGAATAGGAGTTCAGCAGTTACCGCTTACAGGGAAGAAATGCATGAAGAGGAGCAAGGAAAATCTAATACAGCAGTGTTTTGTAGCATCTTCCAAACTGGGTCCTCCACATGTTTCAAGCGGGGAAGTAACTTTTAACTTACCTTTTAAATGCACTCACAGTAGCAGTCTTACCTGGCACAATTTGGCTGCTTTTGATCTTCAGCATCTGCGGATGCCTCCACCTGGCCAGGTTTACAGGTAGATGCTGTCTCATCCTGCTGTCTCCACCCTGTGCTCTGCCTTTCCAAACAGCTGCTGTATCTTGCTCTCTCTATTTCGGGCTCATAGTCCTGTCTTTTAGCTTTGACCAAGTCCAACTCAGCTGGCATCTAAGAAAGGAATAAAGAAAACTAATTTGGAGTTTCCTTCACGGCCTTGCCTTARTGAAGCACGCAGAGTTGTGTCCCTGTGTTACCTGTGAGTTAGTTTGAACTGCTGCTTCAGTGCTTCAMACCTGTATTAAAGGCCAGGGCCAGCCTCATGCTCAGTCCTGTCATTAGGRGGTCACTGAGGGGCATTTACCCTTCTGTTAGACCCAGGACGTTTTGTCTCTGTGATTTTGAAACCTGTGGCAATACCGCTAAGAGASACTGGCCCTGGCCAAGCAGGGATCTGCGGCACCTTCACTCGCCGAGGCCTCACTTTGGATCATTTCCTACAGTCTAAGGAATCTAAGATAATCTAAGTTTGCCAAAAAGAGCAGTGATAGCAGCTCCAGGCTGACAGCACAGTTTGCTAAATCCTGGCCTGAAGAAGTCCCTATGGACCAGCAACAGCAAAAGCTTTTCCCTAGCGTGCAAAGCAGATTACAGCCTCCTGCCTCCAAGTGGCACCCAGCAGGAGCTAAACAGAGAGGCTGGTGAAAACYTGTGTGCTGTGTGTGTTGAAGTGCAGGCAGAAAGCGGGGCAGGTTTGAATGAAGGGGGTTCCAGCCCGGGAGGCCCTGGTGCAGGTGAACAGCACTGCCTGCTCTCGTCCAGAGCCGGAACCACAGTCACGACAAGGAAGGCAGCCTTTCAAGGCCACACTTGGAGATGCCAGTTCTTTGTACRGTCCAGAGCCACCGTTTGCCAGCAATACAGCATAAGGTATTTAAAGCAACATAAAACTGTAGTGCAATTCTTTCTAACTTAATTTCTCACCCTCCAACAGTCAAATATAGTATATACTGCTCTCAAAATGCAGATTTTGGGTACCAACACGTTTTGAATTCAAGCAGAGGACATTTACAGGGAGGTGTATACACGTACCATGAAGCAACCAAATACTGTTACCTGTTTTGCTTTTCTGTGCTAAGACTTYGAAGTGACTGGTAACAACTAAAAGCAGTTGTGGGTCTGGTCTAAAAAATCCTGGTTCCTCCGTTTTATCGTAGCTACATCTAGTATTTTTCAATGTTCTTTTGGGAAGAGTCCAAGTTACTTAACTGGAAGTTGAAACCACCTCCTGAACTTTGCTTGAAACCTCAGCACGAACGTGCTGTTACAGAATAACAAGTCTAAAAAATGAATTGAGCACTGGGGGCTGGAGTAGGGATACATATGATACAGGGGTAGAATAGCAATTAGTAAGAGGACATAGCAACTGTCAATAGATGTGGTGCAATTACTACTGTACAGATTTTGTTTAATCTTAAGTGAAAGTTCTGGTGCAAAAAGCAAGCAACTTGGGTATATGAACTACTTAGAAACAACACTAAGGTATCTTAGGCTGTGCATGTTGAAAATTTTGTCTGAAGGAGGAAGTATTTCCAGCGAAAGGCTTCCAATTTTGAGCCAGAAATCCCTAAAGAACAATCCCCTTTACAGATACCCTCCAGTTTACATACAAGCTGTCAATGTTTAGGCTTAAGGTCTAAATGAAAGAGTCCTAATTTTGCAGGAACACATGCAGGAGCTTTACCTGCTTCAGGGTAAGGTACACAGGCTACTGGATGATCTGTCTGGCTATTCTTCTCCCCTGCCCACAATCTCCAGCTTTATGACCTTTTCCAGAAATAGCACACAGTGATCCATCATTTTTTTTTCCCTTTCTTCCTGGAAAAGTCCAATATGGAGACTATGAAAATGACAAATAAGTTACAGCTTAAAATTCAGCATAATAAACTGRATCACGCTGCCACCGAGCAAAAGAGCAAAGTAAGAGAACAGCTGTCTTATCTAAGGCTTTATATAGGGTAGTAAAGACACTATTTCCTAAAGATTTCCTTACCTCCATCATGCATATATGCATTGAYAGTGATATTAGTGCTAATAAATATTTAAAGCACAAGTAGCTGGACTAGGCTGATGAGCTCAGTTGCTGCAACTCACAGAGCTTAACTGCCTTTAAGCGTAGCACGCACAAAAAGGCTCCAAGAATAAACTGTTTAATGCTTCTTGTGGTAGCATTTAACCGCTAGCAAAAATAGATTTAACTGTACCCCTTACTGGCACTGAAGAGAAGCTTAGACAACATGGCAATAAATGTCATGAGATCTTGAGCCAGATGCTGCTGCTTCTCCTCAGTGACCTTGCTTATTATAACAGTCTAACTTTAGCACACCACAGTTGTAGTAAAACGTTGAGGAAGAATTCTGTAATATTCTGTTCACGCAGTCAGACTAGGAGCAAATAAGGCTGCAGCTCTCATAGCTGGCAATATTCAAGGATGAGACACAAAGATATTTATATCACTATTTACATTCCTTTTAAGATAATGGACGAGGAAGCAGGAGCATCCACCAATCCCTGCCTCCAGTGTCCCCGTACTGTACCTGGCGTGGAAGCTTATTCACAGCTCGCAGGTAGTCTTTGTCTAGGATGCAGTTYCCAAGTGCATTCCCAAAGCACCTGTGAGACGAGAGCTCGTTGTGATTGAGAATGACACTAAACTCTCAGTTCTGAAAACRTGTACTGATCTTCACTTACTTGAGTGCCCTCTTCAGTCCATCCGTTACTGCCTCCTTCCTTGCCTTTTCTAAGGACAAGGCCTTAGATTTTAGGCCTTCGCTCACTCCGTACCCCACATCTTCATGGTATGAGCCATCCTGAGGCAGAATTTAAAAAATACAAAGTGTAAGGGAGTTTCTGCACATGCAACACTCCCAGTGGGATGCTGTGCTTTGCTAAGCCAAATTACCCGCTCTAAGCTGCACGTACCATACTCTTCTGCACCACAGTCTGGCCTGGCTGTGAATTTTCATTCTTCACTCAGCTCTAAGCAGAGCAAAAAAAAAGTGCACTTACCTTAAGCTGAACTTTCACAAATGCACAGACTCCCACGTAGAACCTGCCATTGTTGAGATCAACAAAATCTGGGGAAAAAATAATAKCATTCAGAGCTCCGTGGAAAACCTTTGATCCACACCTAGATCTTCTGCTCATACTTGCTGAACACGCCAAAGATACTATTTTATCATCAATAAAATGSAGCTCAACCTAATAGCTAGTAAGTGTAGTTTGAGAATGATGACTGGCATATATGCTCTGGGTACCATAACATGGTATCTTCTAGTATAGACTTAGAAAAACCCAGCAGACATTTGAAGAGAAGACAAAAGGTTCATTATTATTTAGTTTCTCCCATTCTTCCCAGTTGCCAAGAAATCTGGAAGGTCCACATGTTTCTCATCAGGTTCTGCTATTTCTAAAGTACCTCAAAATATGTATTCTCCCTTGTTTTAAATGTTTAAGCTCTAGGATATATAGCTTGGGCCTTATTTGACAAAATGTCCATTTTAAAGCAACAAGGGGAGACAAGAGGAAAGACTCTATTCTCAAGAGATACTTGCCAACATTCTGCTGAGTGACAGAATGAGCCCAGCCATTGAAGCCAAACATTTCATTAGCCAGACTGATTACCCTGTGACCCTCGATGTAGCAGACCTGCAAAGAAAAGCAATTTTACACATGCACATGTAGGCACACAAAAGTATTTCTTTTCTTTATGAAAAAGAGAGGAATCACACAGAGCCCACTGCAGTGTGGAAAACCCAGCTAAATGCAAGACTTAGAAAATCTGAAGGAAAGCAAAATGGAGCAGCTTTAGTTCCCCCCATCCCCACTAGCAGGAGAGGGTAAGAGAACAAGCAGGACTGAGGTACAGCAAGTAGAGCTAGTGGGCACAGGAGAGGGAAAAATGCACCTAGGGTTTATGTAATGCTTTATATATTCCAGTTCTGAAAAATCAAGCAAATCCAAAAGAAGTGTTCCAAAAGAAGATAAATACTCTCATTTGAAAGGTGAAACACTGCTAAGATGTGGTTTGCCTAAAGCAGGAAAAGACCCCATGGCCACAGTTTAAGCTACTCTAATTTTGTTTTCATGTCTGCAAATTACCCTACTAGTGGGGAATGAACTCCAAAAACATTTGTTTTGATTTTTACAAAGTTTTCCCGGGGGGAGAAAAAAAAAAAAAAAGAGGAGGAACATCTACATGTGTTCATTCACTTTATTCATACCTTCTGTCCTCCTCCAGCTTGCCGACTGCTGATATATTCTGGACCCAGTTTCTGACGCAGCGCATCCTGGATAGCCTGGTATTCATTTGCTGTATACTGATACTTGAGGAAAACAAAGTTAAGACAAAGCTTTTCCCTCTCCCCATATAAGCTTTCTCTCACCTCCTGCCATCAACTCTTAATCCCATTTTTTCCACATACAGTCTTCCAGTACAGAAATGTATGTAGACAAGAGTCAGACCCAAACATCTGGGAATGAAAGAGCACCATTTTTAAGGAACAAAATTTAAAACCYTTTGTGAAGAATCCAGATCGATTTAGCAAAGCCAGACCATTACAGAAAAAAATGTAATGCAAAATTATGTAATGTAAAATTAGGCATATGTGTCTGACTACAGCCCTATTCTACGTAGCTTTAAAACAAGCAGATATACAACGGCAGAGAGCAGGCACAGAACCTTTGTTTTTTCTCAGGTCTGAAGGAACTGACCTGTCCAAAGCAGGCAATGGAAGTGCCAGTGCTGGAGCTGCCGCCGCCGCCACTGTGGCTTTCGCTGGATTTCCTTTGACTTTCAGGCATCCCTGCAGATAAGAGGAGATACAACACTGAACAGTAGGTAACAGAACCAACAGGCCAAGTGAAGAATGTCAGAAAGCTATGGGAGCATAACCACGGTCTGTAAGTGGGGATACGCTGGACGTTACATGGATGTTGTRCTTCCCATCCCATGTAGTTCCACGGAACTACTGCAGGCTCGGTGAGATTTGGTTTCTGATGTTGCTTCATCACAGTCAAAATGAGTTATCGTAAGCTTGTGTTATACTAGGTAKGCATAGATATTTGGTGTCATTCCAGAAACAGAGGTGCTGTTCTGGTCTTCCATTCATAAAAGCATCAAGTGTGAGTGAACTGATAAAGAATCAAGGACAGCAAGTACTAAAAATAACTCCTGCTGCATTTCCCTGGATATATGTTAATCTTAGGGCAGCTCACAGAACCACTAACATTTCTATTTACCRTGCTCCTTAGCGTCAGTTTGGGTTAGTTCACTTATTTTCTGTTTTTTAAGCACTTGCCACACGATAACCAGCAGAAATCAGACTTCTGGGATGTATGAAAAGACTTCTTAAAAACAAAGCTTGACTTATATGGCTTATATGTAATTCCTGCTTTTCAGTAGGAATGTTGATAGTACTACACATGCTGTATTGGACTGTTCCTATTGGCAACTGTCTCTTCTTATGAGACATTTACATTTGTTGCAAGATTAGCAAAAAATTTAATCAAGAAGGAAGACTGCAGCTGAAGCCTATATAMATTTTCTATTATCTACTTCCTTTTCTGCTAGCCATCACATTAAATACAGTAACAATTCCACTCATGCCACTTGAAGGACAAATAAATCATTCCTGGCGGAAGAGAAAATTCAACTCCCGCAGCATCTGGATCCTACACAAGAAGCTGAAACTAGGACCTAAATTAATGTTGTGAGTCATTATGCTAAAGACTAAGCTGTTAGCAAATGATTTTTTTTCCCCTTTAGGTATATGTGAACACAGCTTTTATTATTCTAGGTAAAGAATACTCAGTAATTCCCTCTTCCAAATTCTTCAACGCTATATCCTTGAGAATCTCGACCAAAAAAACAGGCAGCAGCAACTTTCTAGGATCGTACCTGTTCATATGATGATTAGTCAGTCCTCGTTTTATATTACTATTGTGACAGTGATTATGCTGTCTTGGGTTACGATGGTATCACGTAAACTAAGCAGAGCTGAAAAATACCAGTGACTGTTTTAAGCAGCCAGGCTGATAGTGCAGTAGGTGGCACCCTTCACCCATGCAGCACCCGAGAGCTGCCCGCTGTCACCCTGCCACACCACCGTGCCCTATAGCTGGGGCTCCCAGGGGCACAAAAGGCTGTGGGGATACACACATATATGAGTCCACAGGGGCAAAACGTGGTGCTGTTGGCACAAATGCTGAGTACACTTGGCTCCAGTCTATCCCTAAGGCTTCTGCATACAGTGCAAATCTAAAACCCTGCGATACGCATGCAAGGCACCAGTTGCAGAAAGAAGAAAATCCTCARATCCAGCCAGCCAGGTTCCACTACAGAAATACAGCCACATACGTTTTGTGCAATAAATATAAAACATGTCAATGACTTGATCACACTCAAATCATGAACTATTCTTGCTGATAGAAACAGTTTGCTTCCACTGTGAAGTTAGTTTAAATAAACCAAACATTGCGTGAGAGCAACGTGGTTTTCCAGTCTAGTGAAGTGCAACAGAGCTAAGTCTGAAGTCCTACATCCAAAGCAGTTGTCAGAGCACTTTGAAGAAAAACAATTTCAACATCAAAATTATGAGAGTAGGTGTTTGGAAGACAGGAAAATTAATTCTGCAAATGGGCTTATTAATCTATCTTAAAATCAGAACCAGGAGGCAGGGAGAACAAGAAGGCTTCCTTTTCTCAGAAGAATATGGTTTCTTTATCCTTGTGTCCTCTCAGTATATTAACTCATGTGAAACACTGACATGAGGTAGATGATAAAAGCTATTGAATAATGTGCAAAAGTGCTCAAAACTCCCCCGCAGTTAGGACATTTTGAGACCACCTGACTCATGCACAAGCATTAAAAAAAGCTGTACAAGCTATTTTTAAATACAAAAAAAAAAAAAAAAAGCTTCATACACAGTTGTTCTGTATGCAGCATGATAAAAAAAAGTTTGAACAGTAAAAGGCATCTACAAATTATCATTGGTTTGCATTTCTAACTATGATCCTTTATATTATTTGCAGAATTACTTTCAGTTTAGCTGGCAATGTCCTAGGACAGTTTTCTTATCACAGAGGAAACGCACACCCAAGACTGCAGGTTTTCAATTGTGTTTCAAAATAGTACCTTGATATACTACATAAAGAATCTTTAAAGAACGCTGTTACCTCTTAATTTAATTATAAAAACTCAAATTATAGTACACAAACTGAAAAACAAAAGGTTGTTTTAAGAGCACGGATAATAAATATTGACTTCCTACAGCATTCTAGAACTAGGCAATCATTTGTAATGTAGTAGTGAACAACCTGCTGAGAAAAACCTAGGTAACGCACAAATTTCCATATAGAAACATGCCCCTATACAGCCCCCTATCCTATTTCCAAAAGGCAACTTCASTTCTAAGTCACTTATTCTCCTATCACTTGTCCCTCTTTCTTAACAGAATATGTTTCTGAGCCCTGTGCTCTGCCTTACCCATGTGCTAGAAGTGTCAATTCTCTTTGCACGTGAGGGAGAAGCAGAAGAATCTCCTGCTTTCCATCACTTTGAAATGGCTTGTATACCATTAACTTTAATGGTATCACCACTTGGAAACCCTGAGGCAGAATGTGGCTCCTTTAAGAAATTTGTTTTAACACCACACATTCCATAAMATATAACTTTAACATAGACTGTGTATTTTCAGAGGACTTTTAATTTGGTATTTAACAGTTTTGAACATTCTCTCAATAAATGTAATTCCACAGAGCCCACCAAGACCAATCAGGCTATGCACGTAGGAGTGAGGGACTGAGCAAGCACTAAATTTCTCGTATTTAACCTAAAGTTCACACTGCTATAAATAAGCAAACAAAGAATCCCTGGAGGTCCATATATTTCTATGCAGTATTCTCTCCTGAGGAAACTCTGAACTGTTTCAAAGCTAAATGGCTGTACAGAATGATTTATCTAACACTGAACAGGAATGTCCATCTTTAAAGTGTAATGGGCCAAATATTCCTAATGCAGACAGGCCTGCGCTACACAGCAGTTTAAAGAGATGGAAAAAAAAAACAAATTATGAAATTGCCACGAGAAATTACAATTCAGCGCTTGAGTTTTGACACCTGATAGTCAGATATCCCTGCTCTCTTGAGAAGAGTTGGGTTTTGACTTGTTTCCAGTGATTCTGTTGAACCACCTTTTTGGAAAAAATAGTTGCACATTAATGAAGGAGTAAAATAGCTTTTTTTTCTAGAAATCAGACTCGATGGGAATACTACTCAGCTATCCGAGAATAAGTTACCTATGTTGGTGCTTCTTTCAAGCATATCAGACTGATTTAAGTGCATCATGATGTTTAAGCCAGGCTAATAATTACAAGGATGAGCCTTTTTAACGGAGTAATACAGGGCTGTGTGGCACTTCAAGGGGGGAGCACTGTATCCAATGCTTTAGTAAGAGTAAAGGGTCTGTTTTTGCCAAATGCCATTTTTAGACAATAAATCCAGGCTAGAGCCTAAACCACCTGAATTTTGCAAGAAGCTGAGGGGGAATCTGTCAACCTGCAGATCACAATGACACTGTGAGCAGCAAGGCCACACGTTTATACCAAATGGGCGTGCTAGTTAAGTATCGACCGTCCATCCTAAGCCTGCTCGGCTCCAGCTTGACACAGGCTTTATTTAGGGGAATTTGTTTTAGATCTGGAGCTGACGGGGAATACTTGAGGCACAGAGAAGCCTGTATCTAACTTCACCCCTCTGCTGCTACAGGTAGTGATGTAAAACACCCCACGTAGGTTTTTACTGCATCTTTTGCCTATAACGGTGCTATAATATACGCATATAACTATAGCAGCGGTTCAAATGCGTATTATTATCCAAAAAAGTAATCACTTCAGCTGGATCCTGCGCTTCTACGGCTGAGGAGCTTTAAGCTATGGAGCTCTCTACGGCCGGTAACGTGAGTGCGGGAAGCCCGAGACGCGGCCGGGAGCGGCGCGCGGCCGTTGCGGCGGCCGTTGCGGYGRCCGTTGGCGCGRCCGTTGGCGCGCGCGGTACCTGGGCGCTGAGGCCGCCTCCCCGCAGCGACGCTCCGCACTTCCCGCCGGCAACGGCACCGAGGGCGGCGCCGCGGCTACGGCGCGCGACAAGAGTCAAAATCCTCCCGCCCTCGCGCGCGCGCACTCGCGCGGCAAGCGC